GTGTACCTAATAAAGTGGCCGGTGAGTGTATATCACTGGCCACTAAGAATGATTGAATCTGGATAAAAACCACTTTCTCTAAAATTTTAGATAAAAACGGCAATTTAGAGATGGGCCTAAAGTTGGACAACACAGAGGGATCTAGATTTTTCTTTTTGATCAGAGGTTGAACAACAGCATGTTTAAGAGCAGTGATGAGACAAGAATTAACAGAGCCCACCGTAGAGAATACCTCTTTAAAAAGACGAAGGGGGGGTGCTGTCTGAGGGACAGTTTGTAGGTCGGAGATGTTGAACTACACTGGCCAGTGAGGAGAGACACACAGGTTCAAACTGATCAAAAACAGCATTTAGAGGAGGAACGGTGAGGTGAAGGTTAGGGCCTACGGGAGAGAAGGAAGATGGCCTAACAGCATAAACTTTATCAATAACAAATGTTAAAAAACTCGCAAAGGGTAAGCGATGGTACAACTGGAGAGTTATCACAAGGATTTACAAGAGTGTTAAAAATGTTAAAAAGGACTTTTTATAAAGGAAAGTTATGAGTCACATAAAAAAATCTCATGCATTGTTATTTTTGTTCTAGTTGATCTGAAGTAAAAGGTGCAAAATAACCTTTTGCTTCCCAATAAACACAGAGATACCTGCTCATAAAAGGCAGAAAATAATGCAGAAATACATATATGGCCTCTTGCAGTGTAAAAGATCATGTAAACCTTTGAGAGATGCAAACACGGATACAGTAGCAGCCATTCAAAACCACTGGAGTGACGCACTCCTTCTCCTTCCTCCTCCTTCTGTTTTTTTATTCTGACTCCACCCATAGGCGGATTTACTGGGGTGGCATAGGGTGGCAAATGCCTCCCTAAAAGACAGCCTTGCCACCCCAGTTAGCTGTAGGGGTGGCGAGGCTTATAAATTATGGATAATTTGAGAATTACGGCCGCTAATTTCCAATGTAGGACTGCAGTGAATGCAGCACGAGATGACGTGAGAGCGACTGAGACTGATTAGTTTTGAAAACCGAATGGGGCAAAGCGAGGGAGCCAGGGGTGATGGGGAGAGGAGACACAGGATGAAACTGGTGATTAACTATCTATAGAGAAATTAAATCATAATGAAAGAACAATGTTGCTAGCATAGCTGCAATGCTGATTTTGAGATGATACAAATCAGGTTGCAGAACGTTATTTCTCTAACTATGATGTTAGTTCGGCCTGACGTCTCAGGCTCATAAAGACATATTTGCGGTCAACTATGAAAGAAAAGAGACGATCAAGTTTGGTTGAACTCAAATCAAAACGCACAAAGGCATTGGATCTAAATAAATATGAGAAGCGTTTTGCTGAGCAACATGGAAATCACCACATTCAGCTGTTATAGTCATGTTAACTTTATGTTGCTCTCTGGTGAACCTTTACAGAGATGTTACATTTTGTTTTGGCTCCAGAGAAAATCTGATATTTCCTTTAATAAAACCAAAAGTGTTAAAAGTTAAAAATGTGATACTGGTGTGAATCCTGCTTAATATGAAGCAGTGTTGTTGTTTCTTTTTTTATATATATAGTATGAAACTATCCAGAAATGACCTGTATGAACCTAATCACTAAATGTTTTTTACTTTTTCAGACTGGAAGCAAAATGTATTTTTTTTTTTGTTGTTGCTTCGTTTCAGATTTGTGGAGATTTTGATGTAACATACAGTACCTGCCTTTTTGTTGATTTATGATACAGCAGCTCTATCTACAGCAGATCTACATGCATGAAATGTCCCTTTCATGTTGCCTTAACTGCTGTATTTCAAGTTATTGAGGAACAAATGGGGTAAATGTGTGTTCAGAGTAAACAATACATGGATGTCTGGTACCTTGTTTGGGTGCCTTGACCCATTTATTTCTACTGTGTAGTTCTGCTCACTTTAGTACAGCTCAGTCCATAGATCTCTGATGTGTAACTTTTTCTTTCTATAGTTTCTTCTTGTGCAAATGCTGCAAAGCTGCCTCTCTGACAGTCAATCTCCCACATCTGCGACTCAGCACCTGTGTCTTACCTTAATACCTGTAATAATGCCGCTCTAGAAGTAGTGTTAACATTCTTCTATCTCCTATTAAGTGAGATCAAATTGTACGATGTATTTCTAATATGAACTGTTTCACATGAAACACATACTGTACATACTATTCTCACCAAACTGTGATTAAATTCAGTGTGAACAAATGCCTTATGTGCCACCCCTTAAAATTCCTGCCCCCTCTCGCCACCCCATAAATATTTTTCTAGATCCGCCCCTGACTCCACCCATTCAATAAATTACAGGGTCTGACCAAGAGATAATGCTTCTCTTTAGATCCTAATGTCCAGAAATCATGACAGAAAAAAATATTTATTTTCTTTAGTTTTTGCAGCACTAGTGGCTCAATTTATCGACAGTAAAGGGGGTATGAGAGAGAGGGAGAGACATGCGGGAAAGGACCACAGGTCAGATTTGAAGGCCTCCATACATGCGTCATGCGCAGCACACCACTGCGCCACCTGCACGCCTCAGAAAGAATATTTAAGTACAATTATTGATGTTTAAAAAAGGAATTGTAGGGGACCAGCCAAAGGCCCATCTAGGAAGTGGGCACATTTTTGTCTGTATTTTTGACTACTCTAGTGCATTCACCACCATCAGGCTGGCTCTACTGGATGAGAAACTGACAGCGATGCAGGTGGATGCCCCTAATGTGTCCAGTACCTGCACCTGGAGCATTGCAACTCAGAAAGGTGATCAGCAGCACCGGCGCCCCGCAGGGAACTGTCCTCTCTCCCTTCCTCTTCACCCTGTACACCACAGACTTCAGCTATTGCACAGAGACCTGCAACCTTCAGAAGTTTTCTAATCACTCTGCAGTCATCGCATGTATCAACAATGGTGAGCTTGTTGCAGGTTTGAAGCAGATATTTGGAACTGGAAAAACGCATGGGGCAAGTTTGTGCAACAACGGAGGGAAATGAGGGCGAAAAAGGGCGGGGATCCAGGTGGAAAAAGGGTCCCATTGTTCTTGCGCACCTCGCTCTTCTAGCTGCTCCATCTTCATAAAAACAAAAAGAGGTACCAAACAGGAAATACGCATAGTGTAGAGCAGATGTAGATTTGACCAATCAGAGGCCTCCTGTCTGCGGCACTGCCTGCGGTTACCTACAATTTTGGAGAGGTGCAAGCAGAGTGTCTGCGGAAGGGGCGGGGCATATCTGCGTAAAGTGCGACCCACACGCAGACGACCTGGTTTCTGAGTATAACCCAGCCTTGAGGCCCCAGTGACCCCTGCTTCTATCTGTGGGGTCAACGTGGACACTGTGGTGGATTATAAAAACTAAGGGGTGCACTTGGACAATAAACTGGACTAAAAGCAAAAATGTCCTCTACAGGAAGTGCCGGAGCCATCTGTGTTTTCTGAGGCGGCTGAGGTCCTTCAACATCTGCTGGACGATGCTGCAGATGTTTTATGAGCCTGTGGTGTCCAGTGCCATCCTTAATGTTGCTCCACGCTGTGGCAGCAGACTGAAGGTGAAGGACGCCAATAAACGTAACAAACTCGTTGTCAAGGCCAGTCACGTTGTTGGAGAGGAGCTGGACTCTCTGACAGCCAGGATAGAATCCATGTTGGACAATTCTGCTCATCGTCTTTATGATGTGCTGCTTGCCCACAGAAGCACCTTCAGTCAGAGACTCATTTCATCACGCTGCACCACAGGAAGCCATTCCTGCCTGTGGCCATCAAACTGTATAATTCATCTCTCTGATAATCATTTCACTTCATTACTTATTTCATTACCTCACTATTTGAAATAACACGGTCATATAATAATAATTTAGGTACTGACCAGCATTTGAAATGCTGTTGATTGTTAAACTGACATCCTTATAAATTCTATTCCTATATCTTATTTTACACTGTTTATATGGGAAGGGTTTTACTGTGTGGGTTGTAAATGTAGTTATTTCACTAACTTATTTTATATGTTTTTCTTGTTTTGCTCTATTGTACTTCTGTAAAAGCTTGCAATGCAAGAAAAAAAACATTTCCTGCAAGGGATTAATAAAGTAATTCTGATTCTGATATATCATATTTTAGCATTTTTAAAGTAGTGGTGTTTAATAGGCTATTATAACTTTTTCTCATGCAACTTTTTTGTATTCTTGTTGAGAAACGGAAATCAGCACTCTTCTTCATTCGCAGAAATGGATTTGAAGATGAAGAAGAGAGACTTTACCAGTTGGAAGATTGAGGTTCTGCTGACTGAGAGCTGAGCAGCAGAATTAAAGGACCAGTAAAAGGAGAGTATTAGAAAAAAAATCAAAAAGCTGTGAATGACGTGGTTGCCCTGTTACAGTTCAGTTCACTTCAGTTTATTTCTATAGCACCAATTCACAACACGTTTCATCTGAAGGCACTTTGCAGTTCACCCAATCAGATTTATTCAAAATTTTCTATCCAAGAAAAACCAGCCTAATTGACTCTTCAGCAATCCCTCACACTAAGCATGCTTGTCGTGACAGTGGAGAGGAAAAACTCCCTTTGAACAGGAAGAAACCTCCAGCAGAACCAGGCTCAGTGTGAGCGGCCATCTGCTGAGGCCCACTGGGGTTCAAGGAGACAGAAGCAGACATAGAAAAAGAAGCATAGATACAAAAGGCAACTGTAAAACCTTTTCTAAGGTTTCTGCAAAATAGGTCTACTACACTGAAAAAAAATAATGCAGCCACTTTTGGCATTTGGTTACTTTAACACAATTGTTTTATGTCATACTCTGCTAACATCAAAAACAATTGTGTTAAAGTACTTATGATCTAGTAAATGCCAAAATCAGTTGCATTATTTTTTCCAGTGCATCTTATAAAATATCAATTGTGACGCGATTTATTTATTCTGGCAATTCTCTTTGCGTAAAAAAAAAAAAATGTTCTTTAAAAAAGAAAATCTCTATTTTCATGGTGGACAAAAGGATGAAAAAGCGATGACGCAACATCCGGTGGAGCTGTTGGCGGGCAGAAAGGGGCTGGTTGTATATGTTAGCAACGCGTTTCAGGCTATTGTGTGATTGAGCGCCGCAGGCAGACGCAGACTGCTCCCAAACTACCGCCGAAGGAGTCTGAAATTTCTCGGCTTTCCTTCCTTTTGCTCTCCGACCCTCCATCGATCCTCAGCCGACCGTTACAGCCGCTCTGTCCGCCTCGGCCTGCTGCTAGCCCGCCCAGCGCTCCGAAGGTTTCTGCGGGAAGGTAAGGCTGCTGGCAGCTAGCTCAGCCCGTCAGCCATGTTGTTCTCTGGATGCTGGACTCAGGCCGCCCGGGTTCTCATTCATTTTCTGCACATTTAGCTACCACTAACCCGCTGTATCGAGTTCAGGATGGAGCAACGTTAGCTGCCCCGTTAGCTCGTTTAAGCGGAGCGCCGCTCGTGCGGCTAAACGTCCGCAGGGCGTCATGATGAGGCGTCCAGCGTGTTTCCAGACAGGATGGGAAACGGTGCAACACGCTGTTAGCTCTGCACCGCAGGGGAAAACGCTTCATTATTAAACCCTGTAGTTTAAAGTGAGCTGCGCGTGTTTGCTAGGTGTAGTAGTGAGGTTGGTGCATTCAGAGAACTCACCAACATGGAGGAAAAACGTGTTTCTTTGCTTAAGGACGCCAGAAATGATCCACATGCGCCTTAGAAACGGTTTGCAGCTCAAAGTCAGGTTTTTGTCCAAAGTAAAGGCGAATTACTTGATTTAAAACGTGCATTGAACACGTCAGCTGCAGCCGAAGTGCATTAAAAAAATCTGATTGCGGATTTATGAACAACGGAGTTCAGAAAGTCAGCTTTTAATTTTAAGACAATAGCTGAAACGCTGTTTGTTTGTTTTGTTTGTTTCTTCTAACCACGTGACACTTTTTTCTTTCTTTTTTTTTTTTAGGGTAGCCAAAGATTCATTAAATACACTTTTTTTATGAAATTAACTCAGGTAAACTAATAATACTTAAAAGTCTTTGGAGCAAAGGTTTTGTGTTGTTTTGTTTGCATAATGTTTTCAATGATGTAAATCTGCATGTTTTCCACCAGATTACCTTTTTATGAGTGGAAAAATGCATTTTTGGTACGATGCTAAAATCACATTTCCTCCTAGCACACTGCCCACTAAAACCTTTGTGTAACAATCATGCTTCAACTTATTCAGTCCAGATTAGCTTCAACTTATAGTCAAGATGTGGATCTATAAAGTCTGAGGGTTCATCCAGAGTTTCACATGGTTTTATGTTTTGTTGTCTTTAGGGATGCACGATATAATCAGCCGCCTATCGGTATCGGCCTTAAAACTGAATATCGGACATCGGCCACCCCACCGATATTTAACCCGATATTTGATCAGCTTCTGAGTTTCTAAAGTCTAAAAAAAAAAATACTACTACTTCTTCCTCAAAAACTTCTTTTTTACGGACTTAAAAACTTCTAAATACGAGGGAAAAATATTGATACATTAAAATATCACAATATCTTCATATACTGATATTTTGCCGTTTAAAAACACCATATCAATCTCTCTTACTAATCAATTATTGCTATATGTCATCGAAATTTTGCCATATTTTTATATGTTGATATATTGACGCGGTATCGATCTATTTTACTAACAAAATCTCACAAGAATTTGCAAAATATCACGAGACTTTGTAACAGAACGATAAAATTTCACGAGATTTTGAAAGTAAAATAGATCGATACCGCGTTTTTAAAAATCAATTTGATATCAGCATATGAAAATATATTTGAGTATATTATTTTTCAAAGTGTCAGAAATGGTTAACAAAACTGCTATTTTCAATGACTACTTATTTTTGTCCAGCTTTAACATCGATATCGGTTACAAAAGTTTTAAAATATCGGCATATCGGATATCGGCCAATATCGTGCATCCCTAGTTGTCTTTATTTTGGGAAAAAAAAACATGCCTAATATTTTTCTTTTTTTCCCTTTGTTTAATCACCTATAAATCAGACATTTAAAATAGTGGTTCCACCAAAAAAGAATATTCCTCAATGTGAATCTGTCATACATACGGAAGAGGATTAGGGCCACTATAAAATTTAAAAATCAGTTAACTTTTTTTTTTTTTTTTCAGTGGCCCTAATCCTCTTCCGTACACATCTCTTCCTTCATGGTGCCCATCTAGATTAAGATAAAAAATTCTGAGATTAAAGTCAGAATTCTGACTTTCTTTCCCATGTTAAACTGAAATAAATGTTAAAAATCAGTTAACTTTTTTTTTTTTTTTAGTGGCCCTAATCCTCTTCCGTACATACAAATACAAACAATTGTATTTTTATTTATAGTTTTGGAGCTTCTTGCTTCAAGTCACATCTTTATTTTCAGGTCAAATTTGCTCCTTAGACCCTCTGGCCTTAAGGGGTTAAGTTTTCGTGTTACAACGTTCATTAAATAAGTCTAAATGTTGGTTGTAAAAAAATAAATAAATATATAGATATTTTGCATTTAAGATATTTGCAAAATGCAGCCATTGTATCATGGAAAGAAAAGTTTAGTGATTTCTATGCGTCTCCAGGGACTCCTCCATTAGACACCAACATGGCGACCGTAGCTGCGAAGAAGAGCAAGAAATCCGAGGATGAGGAGCAGCCAGCTGCCCCGGTGGTAGCGACGGCGGCGGCAGCAGCAACAGCAGAGCCCACAGACGAAGCACCTCCTGCAGAAGCAGCACCAGCAGCACCTCCAGAGGAGGAGGAGGAAGAGGAGTATGTGGTGGAGAAGGTTCTAGACCGCCGTGTGGTGAGGGGCAAAGTGGAGTTCCTGCTGAAGTGGAAGGGATTTTCAGAGTGAGTATGGTCCTGTTCTCACTCCGTACTTCTGCAGCTTTTATCCCGGTGTTCTCTCAGATCGGCATATCCCGTCAGATCAGCATACCCCGTCAGATCAGCATACCCCGTCAGATCGGCATACCCCATCAGATCGGCATACCCCATCAGATCGGCATACCCCGTCAGATCAGCATACCCCATCAGATCAGCATACCCCATCAGATCGGCATACCCCGTCAGATCGGCATACCCCATCAGATCGGCATACCCCATCAGATCGGCATACCCCGTCAGATCGGCATACCCCATCAGATCGGCATACCCCGTCAGATCGGCATACCCCGTCAGATCGGCATACCCCGTCAGATCGGCATACCCCGTCAGATCGGCATACCCCGTCAGATCGGCATACCCCATCAGATCGGCATACCCATGGTAGTACTCATGCACACGCATGAAGAAAGGTACGTTACCCATTTATAGGGTAAGTTACCGTTTTTGATCATTAGCATTCCCCTTAGAAATCTAGCCCCCCTGTCCCTCAGTGAGGTCTAGAAGCACAATATCTATATCCAGCCATTAAGCAAAGATACTCCTACATGGCTATGCATTTTGTTTTGGCATTTGAGCAATTAGATGAGCCCTTGAATGATATATTACCTACTGGAAATTAAGTTGGAAAAAAACAATAACGGGTTAAGAAAAAAAGGTAAAAAGCTCATTGAAAAGTTAGAAAGTAAATCTAAAGGGTTAATAAGCCTCTAAGGTTATGTCGAACCAAAAAAAAAAAGCGTTTCTTTCACTCTGAGTGTTTTCAGTGAATTTCTTATGGAAGCACTTTTGTTACAAAGATATACGGTCTTGTCCTGGATTCAAAAATGATCTAAAAACTAGTGAAATGTCTTAAAATAAGTGTATTTACCTTTAATTTGAGTAGGTAAATAAGAAAATTTCCCAGTGGAAGAATAATTTTTATCCTTAATATAAGATTATTTGATATTATGCACTTGAAATAGGAGACTGCACTTTTTCCCTTATTTTAAATGTAAATTTTCTTATTCCCTTTGCAAAGTGTCTCACTTACCTGCTCAATTCAAGAAAATTGCACTTATTTTAAGAGAAAATTACTTAACTCCAATATTTAAAGTCTTTCGCTGAGTGCCCTATAAAGGGTTAAACAACTTCTGTTACATTTGCTTTTCAGCCTGTCCAGATCAGCATGTATGCAAATCTGACACCCTGTACATGCGTATTGACTGAGTATGCTGGTCTGATGGGGTATGCTGACCTGACAGAACATGGGACTCGGTCTAAGTTTAGTTAATCCAGACGTTAAGCATGAAGCTGTACAAAAACGAACCTTCTTTTTATACCAGCAACACAACTGTTTGTCACTTTCACTCATTTAATCATTGAACAGTTGAATTCCCATCAATTTCAACAAACCTCAGATCATCTGTTTTTATGGAAGCCCATTAGGTCCATTTATTAAATTAAATATTAAGCTGCTTAGAGAAGCAGGAACGCTGTGAAATACAAATCATATTTATTTTTTTTTTGGTGTTTTTTCTTTTAACGCAAAGGTAAGGCAAGTTGCTAAATCTTATTTCAAGTTTAATCACCTTTTAGGGGAAATGTCCTAACTTTGACAGATCATGTTTACCTGTTCGGTTTTAGGGCGAACACACTTATTTCTAACATTTTATAGGTTGTTTTTTGTTTTTCTCCAGAAGGTGCAATAAAAGCCAGTTAGAAATGTGGAAGTTAGAGTTCAGCAGTTTAAAACGGTTAACATTTTGTATCCAGGTACTATTTTAATAGTCTGCCATCGGTTGTTTTTCGGTTCTATGATCTAATTAATTTCTGTGGTTAAATTTCACAGAAAGTAGAAAAAGGGTGTGTAGATGCCACCATTGACAGCAGATGCAGATCAATCTATAATAATTTTTTCCAGAGAAATTACAGAAATATTGGCCAGAGCTACGGAAGTTCCCTTGGATCATTCGGGAACTTCAGTGAAGATGGAACGTCTTTGGGAAAACTCCTGGCAGGTTTAACCCATGTTACCATGGCGATCAGATCTGCCATTTAAGACTTTTTACTAAACCAAATCCATTGAAACTAAAACTTGTGGGGTTCTGAATAGAGCCGATTGACAGACAGAAATCATTTTTTCCAATCTTGGTATAATTGCTGCTCTAAGCGGGTCGCTCTGTCAGCTGAAGACATGTTTAGAGACTCTATACTCCAGTTAACAATAGATTACTAACTTAGTTGATGATTATTTCAATAAGACCTACTTGGCATGTGACCGACCTGCTAAGCTGTGATATATGCGCCTTGCTAAGGTTTATAAAGTCCACCATTAAAGCGAGGAAAGCAGAAGCCACATGTTTTCATTCCAGATTCTGATCCCAGATCTGTTTGCTTTAATGTTTTCATCTTTACTGTTGAGGTTATAAAGGCTAGGGCTGCAACTAACGATTATTTAAAAAATCGATGAATCGGACGATTATTTTTTCGATTAATCGATGAATCGGACAAAAAATATTTTTTATATTAACCTCTTTATTCCAAAATAAACATTTTAGACAGAACAAACAAGCACACAAGTACAGGTTGCTCATTAACTGTACTGGTGCAATATGGAAAATAAATGTTTGTGTTAAAACTAAACAAACTTACATGAGAAATGTGGCTGTACATCCACAAAATATAGGGTACTTTGTTTCATAAAGCGCAAAAAAAGACATTTTTGTGTTTAAAAGCCCCTAAGGGGTTCAAACAATAGGCCCCCCCATTTCAACAAATGAGGTTTTTTAGACTAGAAGAGTTCTGCCTTTTAAGACAGGAAAGTACAGCAGTTAAAGTTGCTACTTGAGAAAATACTTAACCATAGAGATAAAAATAGCCTGTGATTCAAATTATAAATTGTATTTGGAATAAAAATGAGAGAACTAGGGGTGCTAAAAAACACATCCTCCAAAGACAGATATTTACATGGGAATGTGGCAGATAATTAATTGACATATTACTGATCTTGCTGGATTTTATGCTTTACTTCCATAAATTGCAGGATCTTCTTTACTTTATCTTCGCCAGAAGATTTAAACTTTAAAAGCCTTGCCCTCATAATTTGCACGTTAATTTATTTATAAAGTAAATGTAAACGCTGCTTAAGCTATTTCTAATGAAATTAAAAGTAAAATAAGTAGCCAACCTTATCACTGTCTGTAACCTACTAACACGGTAAGGAAAGCATCAGATGAGCGACCTGAGAAACTAACGTTACGTTTCCCCACTTTAAAACCAAACAAACATGGTGCTTCTGTGCCATGTTCATTTGTTTTGACAAAAGTTGGATGTTGCTTTACAAAGCGCAGGCTATTTTAATTATTGTGATCAATTTGCGCCGTCAATCCCGGTGCATGCGCGCTTCATTTGCAGTCTGGACGCTGAGGCTCTGACTGCAGCTGAGAGGGACTCCTGCGGGAGCGGGGGGAGGCGCCCCACGGCAGAGTAGGAACGATACATGCTTTCACGTAAGAGTCTCCAAAAGCCGCCAGTGAAACCGAAAAAAAAGTCGCCAGATTTGTCGCTAGTCGCTTTTTTGGAAAATAGTCGCTGGAGGGGTCTGAAAAGTCGCTGAGTTGGCAACACTGCTCCTGCGGCGCTGACTCGCTCTGCCATATTTTTTTTTTCTTCCTCTTTCAGTCAAGAGGCAGTGATGACGGCGCGGCGGATGACGCAATAATCGCGCGACACAACTAATCGATGATGAAATTCGTTGCCAACGCTTTTAAAAGTCGATTTTTATCGATTTTATCGATTCGTTGTTGCAGCCCTAATAAAGGCCGTCGCTATTCTACAAGCGATGATCTATGAATGTGGTTAATGTGTTAATGTGGGATCATCCACGCTTCTTATGGAAACTCCATTAATGCGAGTCACATGATCACTGAGCTTTCAGGTTATTCCAGCTAAAACGCTTCATTTGCACAAACATTTAAAAGGAATCCAGGATATTCATAAGAAAAAATTCCATGATGAGAAAATCACTACATAACGTCTGTTATTTGATGTCAGAAAAGTTAGCTAATCGCTAATGCTTAGCATCTTTGTTCCTTAAAGCCCAATAAATTAATTATTTAGCTTAAAGTGCAGACATGTGTATGTTTATACATATATATATTTATTTATTTAGGATTTTTACCACTTGCCGTTTGGGCAAGTGACTTTCACATTTCATTTGCCCAGAAACAATTCTTCCTTGCCCAGTATAATGTTTGATAAATATAGTTCCTAATATTCATTTTTGTATATATATCAATGAAACATGTTTGTTTTTTAAATGTTTTTTGTAATTCAGTATTTTTTAAGTTTCCAGGTTCCTGGTGTGTATCTGCATGCGTCAGATAATGAACTCCAGCCTACATTACCGTGTTAACATGCTTTTCATCCTTCCTGCTCATTCTTTTCAAACTAAACTTTGATTTAAACTGTTGTGTGCTTGGAAAAATATAAATTACAATGTTAAAAATCTAAAAAAAAAACTTGACAGGTTAAAAACTTAAGATAAATCACAAGACAGAAGTCAATGTCACAAATGAATAACTTTTATTTTAGAGTCATGGTATGTTTATACAAGATAATACTATTTATATAATGTGACTTTTCTAGAGAATCATTATTCATAGTTATTTTATTCAGGGTTTCCACAGTCTGACATCATTTCAGAATTCCCTGACTTTTAACTGACTCAGGATTAGTTTTCCCTGACAAAATAAATGCAGCAACAAGACAATAATAATAACATAACAGGTCACCAATCTAACATGTTTAGCTCTATAACATTTAAATGCACCTCTCCAATGTCAGAGAAAAACATTTAATGTACGGTTTTTAATGTATGACCTGCATCACTGTACAGAAGACTGCCATATGATAGAAATATTTACACTCAGCGCATGGCGTACAATTATGCCAGGTTTCCTAATCCCTGACCGATAATTTTTAATCTAGGGTTATCTGGGTGGTGGTGAAATGGGTGGAGCGAAAAACATGTCTGATTCGCACCGATTCCCAGACAAAAATCACGCCATCTGCCGGAAAATCACGGCGCTTTTTCAAATCACGAGAGAATGTGTACAAAACAACAAAAATGGCGCCGTCAACGCTTCTGGGTCGTTTTCATTGAATGTCCGTGATTTTAAAGTAATTTTGAGTGATAAATAAATGTTTTTTGAAACCTGCCTATTTCCAGGCATGTCTTTATTACTGCTGTTCAATAAAGACATATTTTCCTTTAATTCATGTTTGAACTGATGCAGTTTAGGCTGTTTTTAGTCATTTCACATTTTCAGAAATTAGGCGTTTCTTTCAAATCATGGATCACACATTTGGGCTTCAGTTCCTAAGTTATTTGCTTTTTCATTTCGGTACGGAAAACAGGTGAGAATTACTTCAAAATTAGTTGGGTTTTAAAAGGAACCTTTTGCTATCTGATTATAGAAAAAATAACTGACATTTAAATCGATTTAGCATCAGCCTTAGTGCGAACATTTAATAACCAACACTATCGGTAATCACGAAATTATTGCTGAACTCTGCAGCACTTTTAATGCATTTGGAGTCAAACTGTAAAATATTTTTTTCCCTACTGTTGGTGGCGGCTGGAAGTAGCAGTTAGCGTTTTTTCAGGTATTTGCTACAAACTGCAGGAAGCAGGATAATAAAAGCAAACATATTTTGCCGACAATCAGCTTCTCTGATTTGTCGATGAGGTGCGTCCAGCCGCTGCTGCTTCAGCTGCTCGAAGTGCGTCCACTGTGAAAAGAGCATTAAGATCTGATGATATTTTAAGGTTTTCTGAAGTTTTGCTCTTGTTTAAATAATCCAGAAATCTTGTAAAAAGCACCGTCGGCATGGAAACCATGCTGGATGTATCTGGAAGCAGAGTTTGAGCAGCTATACCTTTCAGATTATCGATATTCTGGACAGCCCTGCTGCTTGGTGGTTAATCTACAAATTTGTAAACTTGCTGCTATTTATAGAGTAACATGAGTTTAAATATGATACCCTGGATTATTAATCTGTAGCAGCTGGTTTCTACTAAACCAACTTCTAGAGTTTGCTGCATGTTTTTTAACCACGGCTGAGTTTGAAGCGAGAAGCATTCATGGGTTTTTATTTCATTTAGTGAAGACAACACATGGGAGCCGGAGGAGAACTTGGATTGTCCGGACCTCATAGCAGAGTACATGCAGAAACACAAAGAGAGGGAGGAGAAGAAGAAGGAGAGCAAGAGGAAAGCTGCCAGCGAGGCCTCCGGAGACACAGAGGAACGGGCCAGCAAGAAGAAAAAGGAGGAGGTGATTACGTCACTGAGGCTGAAAGAAAAGTTTTTTCCTGATCCAAACGTGTTGTGATTGGTCCATCTTTCTCTGAATAACCCTTCCTCCTCCGTCTCCCATCAGGGCGACAAGGCCAGAGGTTTTGGCCGAGGCCTGCAGCCTGAGAGGATCATTGGAGCCACCGACTCCAGCGGGGAGCTGATGTTCCTGATGAAGTGGTGAGTGGGAATGTGCTGCAGCAGGGATGCAGCTAAAACATGCAGGCTACCTGAGGACCCAGGTCAGGAACCACTGATCCACACCTTCATCTAAGCTCCTAAGCATTAAAGCCGGTTGGCACGATTTCCCACCAAAACTTCCTCTGTTCTGTATTAAGAAAAAAACATGAAATGTTTTAAGTTAAAAGGATAGAAAGCTACGTCTAATACTAGATGTAAATTACTCTAAAGTCCCTCAGTGTGAAAGAACAACTGCCTCGTTGGAATCTGGCTTTTTTTTAAGCACAGAATTTTTTTTTGCAACTGAATTTTTAGCTGTTCAGATGCAAAAAAAGTTCAACTTCAATGTGTTGGCCTTTTAGTGAACTCAAGCTTAAGCAACCCACCCGTCTGCCAAGGCTCTTGGTTTGATCCAGAAGAAGTGGCCAGCGACAACCTTGGATTATTTTTTATTTTTTTTTGCAAACCAAATGAGCTGATTTCATTGGCTCTAAGCTGCTCTGCTGCATCGAGTGTAGACTGCGTTGGTTTGAGTTCACAAAAAGGTTGACATGTTTGCAGTGGAATTTTTTGTAGCTGAATTTTCCCAGATCAAAATTCAGTGTAAGGAATTTAAGGTATAAAAAAAATTCAGTGTTTAAATTCGGTGAACAAAAAAAGGCAGATTCCAATTAGACAAGTTTTCATCAATACTTAAGTTCGTCTATTAATTGCTGAATTGATTCGTTCCAAAATCCATTAGACTCACTGTCAGTGCATCGACAGCCAGACCGTTTCTCCATGTTTGGTCAGAACCCAACGTTCTTCTGCTCCACTCATCCGGAACAAACTGTTACAGAGTTTCCGCGTGTCGTTAAAAAAAATCATTAAAAGACGTTAAATTATTATTTTTTTTTAAATTATTGCCTTAATTGGCCTTAAAATTCATTACATTTGAGAATTGTGGCATTAAAATGGCTTCAGAAAAGCTTGTGGCGGGAAAACGAGGAACTCAGGACATGGCTTATATATATATATATATATATATATATATATATATATATATATATAAAATTTAGTCATGGGTGCTTGTTGATGGCATTAAGATTATTTCTAAGAGCATTAAAAAGCATAAAATAATAGTTACTCATTCATGTATAAACATGTAAAAACAGACGTCAAAATGTTCTGTTTTTATTCCGCTGCTAGTTCCAGATTATCTTATCTTGTTGCTGCTGCTGAGCTCTAAAAACGTCTGAATGTTTTCGTGGCTCCATGAGCCAAACCGGCCTGATGACCTCTGACCCTGAGATCTGAACAAATGCAGACTGCAACAGAACTGTGGATGTTCAAGGACGTGCCACGTTATGGTAGATTTATGATGAGTACGAATTCAGCTCTTGAACGCTCCTCTCCATTGGTTTGGGGTTTGAACGCAGCTCGGCTCCAAACTTGGATGTGAAATGATATTTAAACTGTTTTGCTTTAAAAGTTTTAACTTTGTTCATGATATAAAATGTATTTTCATGTTTTCTATAAATATTTAGCAGCTGAAGTCCATTACTCGCCTGTAAATCCAGAACCTGACTGTTTGTCTCCTTTCATTCCACGTCGACAGGAAGAACTCGGACGAGGCGGACCTGGTCCCGGCCAAAGAGGCCAACGTCAAATGCCCCCAGGTGGTGATCTCCTTCTACGAGGAGCGTCTGACATGGCACTCCTACCCGACGGAAGAGGAGGAAAAGAAGGAGGAAGAAAAAAAAGACTAGGGGGGGGCGAGAGGGGAAAGAAGCAAGGCAGGAAAACGGGCTTGACCCCCAGCTGACCCTTCAGTTTCAGAGTCCCTGAGCTCCCGTTCTCTGCACCTGCTGCCGTCAGCGAAGGTGGCGGATCCGTTTTCCTGCCCTGTGAGGAGGTCGTCCTGAAAAGATGTTCCCACCCGTCCCCACCCCCACCCACCTCCCTCCTTTCGCCAAGAATGTGTTGATTGGTGCCTTTTTAGTGTTTCCTGCAGACCACAGAGTATCTGAATGAAATCCAAAAAAACGATGATGAATTTCTCAGCTTCAGTGTTTGGTATCAGGCTCAGCTTTACTTCATCCCTCGTTAGAATAGTTTTTTTTAATGTTCGGGTCATGACGATTATGACAGAAACGTCCGATAGACTTTGCGTTTCACGGGTGGGAACTTCTTTTTTAAGCAGTAGGAACGCGTCGAGCTTTCCGACGGAAAACGTTCGACGTTTTCTCCTCCAGAAAAGTCGTCGATCTGATCCCAACAAACAGGCGGTTAGAGAAGATTCTGCTTTAAAGTGGGCGATTCTGGTGAATTCACTTCTTTTTTTTTTTTTTTTTTCAATCCTGTAACAAAGTGGATTCAACCAGAATTGGAGCCTGAAGGGGGGGGGGGTCTGCTTCTCCGGCCCCGTTTCTGTTCCCTAGGTTGTATAATTGTTCTCATGCACTGCTGGGCAACACTCAAGACATCTAGTATTTCTTAGCTGGTCTCTGCTGCAGACAAACTGATTTCTAGTTGGAACTGATGTAGCGAGCAGCATCAGTCTTAGTTTTTCCTTTGTGCTTCTGTCTAATGGTTCCAGTGGTTGTGTTAATTGTAGCCCAGCTGTGCAGCTCTGTGGAAACTGTAATAGTGTTGTAGTTTTCTTTGTCGGCTGCGTTAGATTTCCTCCCTCTAGGTTTTTTTTTTTTTTTGCTTTGGGATTCATGCCTTTTTAAAAACACGTTGATAGTGACTGCATGCGTTGCACCGTCATCATGACCTTTTTAACTCCTTCTATCCGAGCTGGATCAACTGACGGTTCTCTGCAGTATTTCAGTATTCCTCTTGTTGGAATTTAGTTGATGAAATGCTTTTCCATTCCTGCAGCTCATCTTTCTGTATATTTTCCTGTTTTTATCTGAACCGCCTCTCATCTGATGTAATCACTCGATTTGTCTGTGCTACTTTTTTTTTTTTTATATATATATATCTTTTTGTTCCTAGTGGTTTATCTTGATCTGTTGCATGTCTGTTGATCTACTTTTAAACGCAGATTTAAAACAATAAAAAAATTGGGATCCATGAGAAGTTTTAATCCTTTTGTTTTCTTTGGAACATAGAAGAATGATTGGACGTACTAGGGTTGTCAGATACTAAGTAAAATATTCAATACTCGATACCACAAGAATAAAAACAAAGACTCTAAAATTCAACAGAAATATTTTCATTACTAAAATACAATAAATAAAAAACAACAAGAACAATATTTTGAGGTTGTTTGCTGTGCACAATATTAAGAAAGCTTGATTAAAAAAAAACTAAATGAAAATTAAGTGTTCCTTCCTTGGCTATGCTTTACACACATAACAATGACACTAGCTAAACCAGTTAAACAAAAATAATTCTCAGCAGCCCAAACTGTTACAAAAAAAGTGTGAAACTGAAAAATGCACAGAATTATTCAATCACAGTGTTCAGAAAGAGCATTTTCCACTATTCTGCACTTTAGATGGCTGTATCGATACTTTTGAAAATTAGTATTGTATCCGGATACAACGTTTCAGTATCGATACTTTTGACAACCCTAGAACGTACTTTATGCTGGATGCTGTAAAGTAAAAAAAAAGGCAATGAAAGCAGGAAGAAATTAAGTACCGGTATTAAAAATTAAAAACTTCCTATTAGAAATGTGGAGAAAACTTTTAGTTCTGCTGTAACATCAAATACCAGTGCTGAATATTCAGCTGGAAAAACATTTCTTATAACTTGAATCACTTGCAGCTGAATCATCGAAGTTTCGAGTAAATTCTGGATGCTACCCACTCAGGACACTTGGAATACATTGGACGAGCAGTATGGAGGAATATTGACACGTTTTTTGTGGACTTTTATGGACCTTTCTGCCTCGGGCGCCATAGACCTCCATTATTTGAATGTCAGCAGACAGCAAGAAGCCTCCCAGATCTCCAGATGCATTTGAGATATCAAAAAAGTACTCCAGGGAGTTGTTCAGCATGGGGGTGAGTAGAAAATGAAGGCTAATCATGTTTTGGGTGTACTATTCCTTTAACGCTCTGTTCTTGCACAGGATCCGCCACATTGAGCGCCGTACCAAACCATGCAGTGGGTTGTGTCATTACCCGATCCGTACCATCAGCTCATTTGCGCGTGCGCAAACAGAATAACTTCCGGTGGCAATATTTCCTATTTCTTACTTTTTTATTCTTTTGCATTTTTAGAGGCATGGGTTTCTTTTTGTACATCTTTGTATTTTGGTCAATATTGCATTTTCTAAAAATAAAAAAACAGAAATAAAGTTCAATCGCCTTGTGATAGTTACTTTGACTGCTCTGAGCATGCGCAAATATACGTCACACAGCGTATATATTTAAGTTTGTTTAAATATTTGATTTACTCTGTACTTAACTATGCACTCCAGCAGTACTGATCCCACAATGGATTCATTTGCTACCTTTCGTGACCTGCAGTTTTTCATTAATAAGGGAACATTTCCCCAAAATTTGGATTTTTATTCCAGAAGAATTACGTCAAGCAATACAATGGATTGAATTTAAAAAGCATCCATTTCTTCCAGAAAAGTCTTCAATATTGTCTTTACGATGTAGTTTAGTATTCTTTAATTATTTAAGGATATAAATAAAGTTTTTTCAGTACCGTAATTAAGTTATTTTTTGGCGACCCGGAAGTTATTCTGTTCGCGCAGGCGCAAATGAGCTGATGGTACGGATCGTGCTACCGGTATGGATCGGGTAGCGACAGGTAGGGCCCATGGACCGCTTAGCGAGCCTGCAGCAGGTGCAACGGTGAACCAGTGTCAGAGAAAATGCATGAATTCCAATAAAGGTTCTGCTGGTTTGCTGCATCTTCATCACACTGAGAGAAAATCGTAGCCTCGTGAGACCATCCTGATCTCGCGAGCTTTCAAGGTCTCACTCGCAGATAAAGAAAATTTGGAGCCGTTCACCAAACGAACGTCCAATCAGCGTTGGCTTTGAGGCGGGTTGAGGTGTGACGCAACGAGAAGCGCGACAGTTCAGTCTAAAGAACATGGCGGCTTCAGCCGATGAAACTAGCGTTAGCGTGGCTATCGAGCAAGTTTTATGGGAATTACAGAGTATTTCTTCACTGAAAGAAGAGCAAAACACTGCTCTGGAGGCTTTTCTCAGAGGAAAAGATGTTTTTGCTCTTCTCCCGACTGGTTTCGGCAAGAGTTTGATCTATCAGTTGGCTCCTCTTCGTCATCGCTCTGTTAGTACGTCATATGCTTCGTTGATCTGATTGGTTTATTTGGCCCGTCTATCACCAACATAGGCCAATCAGCTAACCAGTATTTTCGCCCCTTCCCAAAATCACTTCAACGGAAGGTTTCCAAAATCGGTCTCAGAGGAGAAATATTCATGAGATTAATGTTGCAGCAGCCAAGATTAGACAAGAAGAAGGCTTCTGGGTGTCGAACCAGAACCTCCTGAGGAAGTCGCTGCAGAGCTGTAATGTTTCTCTGGATGAAAGTGGCTGATTTTACTAAGCTGTGATGAAAGGCGGAGGAAACTGAAAGAAGTTCATGTTTCTGATCATTTGTCCTGATTTACACTGAAAGAAGTGAAATGTCCATTTAATTCGGTCAACTTCAAAAATGCATGTGTGGTTTGAAACCAATGATTTCACTTTACCTGGAATTAAAAATCCCTTATAACAGAAGCAATCAACTAAAACAATTATTTTATCTACTTCAAGTAACTGATGTGAATGTGACCTCGTTACCTGACTAATGAAAATAGGTGTGAGCAGCACAGCGCCACCATGAGCAAGGCAGCTTTTCCAACTAATGCAGTCTGCTCAGTTTCAGAACAGCAAGGATTATGATGGGCCGGCATTGTGGTCATCAAGAGAAATGGAAACGATTGGACGAACTCCGAGGAACTGCAGCTTAGCTTTAAAAAAAATAAAATAATAGGATCAAACGAGTTTTCTTTTAAGGTTAAGCTCTAAATTATCATGACTTATAAATCCTGTCTGTGGTCAATATAGTTGGATCAGAATTATGTTTTTATTCTTTGAAATAAATACAGTTTTACATTTTTGTCTCTACTTTATTCCAAATTACTAGGGATGCACGATATTGGGATTTTGGCCGATATCCGATATTTTAAAACTCATGTAGCCGATAACCGATATCGATACCGATGTTAAAGCTGGACAAAAATAAGTAGTCATTGAAAATAGCAGTTTTGTTATCCATTTCTGACACTTTGAAAAATAATATACTCAAATATATTTTCATATGCTGATATCAAATTGATTTTTTAAAACGCGGTATCGATCTATTTTACTTTCAAAATCTCGTGAAATTTCATATTTCTGTTACAAACTCTCCTGATATTTTGCAAATTCTTGTGAGATTTTGTTAGTAAAATAGATCGATACCGCGTCAATATATCAACATATAAAAATATGGCAAAATTTCGTGAATTTTCGGGGGATTTCGTAGCATAACGATGACCTATTGCCATATTTCATTAGTAAAAGAGATTGATATGGTGTTTTTAAATGGCAATATATCAGCATATGAAGATATTGGGATATTTTAATGTATCAATATTATTTCCCTCGTCTTTAGAAGTTTTTAAGTCTCTAAAAAAGAAGTTTTTTAGGAAGAAGTAGTATTTTATTATAATTTTTTTTTTTACTTTAGAAACTCAGAAGCTGATCAAATAACGGGTTAAATATCGGTGGGGTGGCCGATGTCCGATATTCAGTTTTAAGGCCGATACCGATAGGGGGCCGATTATATCGTATTTATACTGGTATGTAATGGTACAGATTTCATTTTTCCAAATAGAAAAAAAAGATTACAAAAAAGCATAAAACTTGTTTATGATCTGTTATAAGTTATACTTTTACTTTGTATGAATGTAGTTTCTTTCTTTGGCTTAAGGTAAAAAATATATTTCCAGTAAATTAAAAATGTAAAGTTTCAACCACATCAGAAACTTAATTTGAGACAAAGTAATAAATTTAGGTGTAACAAATTACAGTAATTTTTTTAAGTTGATCCAAAGTATATTTTTTCAGTGTAGGATAGAAAATCTCTTTATTTTCGGACAGGTAGGACATTATGGTGTAACAGCAGCAAAGCTAGACTTTATAGTGAAAATTTCAAACAAGTATAGACATTAAAAAGTTTACCAAAATAAAAGAATAAAGTGAGAAATAATAAATAAAAATACATATCAGTTGATCAGGTAGAAAATAATAAAACTAATAAAATGTTCTTAAAATAAATATTTGACTTTAATTCAACAGGTAAATAAAATTGTCTGCTTATTAAATTATTTTTTTTCTTTTAATTTAATAAAATCAAGTAGAAATATTCTAATGGAGTTTTCTATTTTAAATGCAACTTGTTTTCTTCCATCTGCAAATTGTTTTATCTGCTTCATAATAGAGAAAATATATTAAAATTATATTTCATTTTTTTTAATGAAACACCCGAATTTAAAGCTCCTGCATTAAAAGGTTGAATTAACTGAGAATTAAACTGGATTTTTTACTCTTTTACCTCCTTAATCCAAGAACAAATGCACTTATTTTAAGAAAAGATTTTGATTTTTTTCCAGTGTTCTTTACATACAACAATTACAGGTTTAAAAAAAAAATCAATTTTCTTGATTACATTATACAATACAGCTAAAATAGAAGTAAAATAAAACCAGCTGCAGCTGAAAGTTGCTGCTTCTGTCTCAGTTAGATGTGAACAGCAGGGCGGCTGGTAGTTTAGGTCCAGAACTTCTCTTTGCTTTCATGGGTCTGTACCTGCAGACAGCCATCAGTGCTTCGCTTTGTTCAACAGAACATTCTGCAACTTTCAACAGCAGGGATTCCTCAACTCTTTAAATAATATTGCATCAAAAATAATAATAAAAATAGCTCATTTAAACCACAACATAAATATAACATCTTTGCAGGTCTAAACAGTCCAACAGAATTGTAGCTTGAGAAAGAGCAGCAGCTTCGGTTTGAGTTCCCAGTCGTCGCAGCAAAGCTAAAACGTGAGCTGTCCTCCTGCACAAAGGTTTATGAACAATGTTGGGATGATTGTGCACAGCTCTGATCACCAGGGTTCCAGTATGAGGAAGCTGGAAAATGTAACATTCCAGTCTGGATAACATGGAAAACTTTAACTCAACCTGCTATCGACTTAGAATCCGTAGGTTTAGACTTTGGCATCAGAACCAGAGGTGAATATTTTATATTTGGAGCTAGAGCCTCCAATATACGATATCAGCATGAATCAAACCTACTTATATCCCTCATGCTGTCATGTGGGATGTTAGAGGATAAATTATTCCTTAAACAGAGAACAGTTACCAACAATCACTCCCTGATTCATTATTAACATATGCGTTAATCTTTAGTTTCAGCATGTTGGAGGTTTTAGATGCAGCCCGATATATTCGGGTTTTCCTGCCTGATATCAACCTGACTGTTGGATTTTGGGCGTTTCCTCTTTAGAATGATTATTTGTTTCCTTCCAAAAAGCTAAAATCAATCCACTGGACTTTGTTTCCACGTTTGAAGACGTTTCTCTTCCATCCAGGAAGCTTTTTCCATTCAAAATGTCAGAAATAGCGTTTAGTTCCAGGTTTTATCCAGCAGCCCAACAAAGCCTGGTTTTAGTTTAGAAAACATGAAAATAGAAACTGATGAACGGGTCCCCCCCTTTGGAATGGGGGTCGTTTGGCTTCTTTGTTAGCCTGCAATGCCCCATACCTGTCTATGTCTCTGAAAGGGGGGTCGTTAGAGGGAAATGTTGGCCTGGCTGAATAAGCGAGGTCTTCTGTTCCCCTATAAAGGGGCTGGAGCTGCGATGATAGCGGGAAGGAATCAACTCTATTGCTGCATTGGAGGTTTTTGAAAGCAACCTTAAACCCCCCTTTAGTTTAAGGTTGTTTTTTCTTTCTTAACATAGATGGCTTCCTTCACGCCCCTCTCTCTTTTTTTTTGTATTAATATTTTTATTAGGAGGAAGAGAGACATTACAAACATAATTTAAACTGTAAACGACAAGGTATGCCATATCGAACATACATATATATATATGGATAGTAATGTAGTAAAAGGCATACAATTTAGCTCCTGTGGGGTTTTCTTTTTTTTTTTTCCTTACAAAACTTAACAGAATACAATGTATACAAAACTTAATTAGGCTTGTCCCGATCCGATCCATGTATCGGATCGGGACGCCGATATTGGCAAAAAAATGCGTATCGGCAAAGCATGTAAAATGCCGATCCAGACTGCCGATCCGGTCTGTATTTTCCAGTTTCGCCGATTGAAATGATCCATTCCACTATTTTGCGCCAGTGTTTCCCTGTTTTGCATTTTTATTAAAACTTACAGTAATTCTTGCACCTTTAACTGTTTACGGTTTTACTGCTCACTGTGCAATTTCAGATTGCTATTCGTAATTTTGTCCAGTTTGTGTTTATCTCTTAATAAACAGGTAAGTTTGTTGTTACCAAGCAGTGTGTTTTATTCAATCTCACCTAATTTAGCTGGCTAGATGTTATCAAGAGTACTAAAACCCTTTTCAACATGAGTCTTACAACTAAGGCTAAATACTTTAACTTAAACTTAAATACATGCTCGGATAGGCTGGTATCGGCCAGTATCGGTATCGGATCGGAAGTCCAAAAACAATATCGGTATCGGATCGGAAGTGCAAAAACCTGGATCGGGACATCTCTAAACTTAATAAAAAAGTAAAAAAGAAGAAGGGCGAAAATAAATAAAATAAAGTAAAATGATAAATAAATAAAATAAAAATAAGTAAATAAACAAAATTAAAATTAAGGGTGGGTGTAGGGTAGGGTGCATCACCTAATCTAATCTAGGAAAGGGGACTGAAGAGAATGAAAGAATCTCATGATAGGGCCCCATAAGATATAGAATTTAGCAGAATTTCAATGAGTATCTTATCTTTTCCAATTTTAGAAAAGACATGGTGTCTTTAAGCCACTAGCCGTTACAAGGTGGAACTGTTAACTTCCAATGAAAAAGAAGACGCCGTCTTGCCAGTAAAGAAGTAAATGCTAAAACATCCAACTGGTTAGAAGTAAACTGTTTGTAGTCATCTGGAAGCCCAAATATAGCAACATGGGGAGAAGGTTTGATGACTACTGAGAGTATTTTTGACATTGTATCAAAGTAGGTTAGCCAAAAACTGTGGAGTGATGGACAGGAATAAAACATATGGGTTAAATTGCAGGAAGGTGCATGACATTTGTCACAATTGTCAGAGACAAAGGGAAAGAATTTATACAGACGAGTTTTGGAGAAATGAACCCTAAAGAGAACTTTAAATTGTGTGAGAGAAAGTCTAGCACAGATTGAACTTGTGTGAATTTTCTTAAGAGCATTATTCCACCAGTCCTCTCCCAAATTTAGACCCAGTTCGAGCTCCCAAGCCGCTCACGCCCCTCTCTAACCAGCCATCTGGATCAGCTACTGGTCTACTTTCTTAGTTCTAGTGAGGATGCAGGCAGCAGCTTTCTGCTCCTCTGAAAAGTCTTCAGAGTTAGAAACACAGTCCAGTGGATCGTCTTTTAACTTTTTGGAATGACTGACCTGGATGAATAAAAAGCTTCACCAGCATTATTTGTTTCTGTTTTTTTCAGTAAAATGATTACTTATGTTTTGCATCCTTTGACCTAAAGTAGAGCAGAACAGACTGACTCTGGTTAAGTATAATATTTACATGTGTTGGGACCCTGGTTAACGTGGTTTTTGTGCAGAGGCTTTATAGAGTCATTGGTCAGCTTCCTGTTTCTCTGACAGGTCCTTATCTAAAGTCCATCCTTCTACAGGAATATTCAGCTCCTCCTCTTCTTCACATCTCTGTGTTTTTTGCTGTTTCTGTTTCCCCTCAGTGGAGCCACCGTGACTGTATCATCAGGTCCAAATTGAAGCATGTATTCCTTGGCGTTCAGTGGTCTCCCCTCGGCATCCATCAGCTTGGTGAAGATCTCCTGGTACAGCAGTCCATATCTATTCTTCACATCCTGCAGAAGGCTGAGTCTGTTCTGGTTTTCCTGGAGCAGCTGTGAATGGTGGCGTCTCAGGGCCCTCAGGTCTTCCTCTAATGTGAGCAGCACGTCTTGTTTCCTCTGTCTGCAGTTCTGAGCGGCGACCTTGTTCTTGCCGCGCCGCCGTATGTCCCTGACCAGCGTCAGCTGCTCCTTGCTGAGCGGGTAGCTGGTCAGTAGGAGGTTGAACTCGTCCACCGGCAGGTTAACGATGAGCTCATAGGAGAAAGGGATCCTGAGGGCTCGCGCTCGCTGCTCATCTCGGTTCCAGATCTTACCTCCAGGAAGCGGTCTGGAGCTGCAGGCCTGGTACGGTCTGGCTCTGCGACGCCTCCCAGCAGTTTTAGTCTGTGCTGAAAGCTTCCTGCTCCGAGCTGGAGAAGATGAGGAGGACAAAGGCGAGTTGATGAAGGTGTAATCATGGCCTACGTGTTCCAGCCAGGAAAAGCCTTGAAACAGTTTGTGGTCTGCATGATTGACAGGAATAACTCCCCCAGCAGCTCCCATCTCCTCATCTTCAAGCTCCTCCTGCTTGATGGTCACCTCCACCTCCAACTCTGATCCAGCCAAGCCTTCAGCGTCGCTGCGATCTTCCTCAGAACGTACCTGCTCCACAGCAGACGCACATGAGGAAGAGGAATAATCTGCTGAGCCTTCAGAAACAGAAGGAGAAGAAGGGCTGTGGATGGAGTCCAGACAAAGGCCGGAGTCCGAGTCTGTCTCTACTCTGCAGTCTGGGAAGATCAAACAGGAGAAGTAAAAAACAATGACTTCCCTGAATGAAGAATAAACACATTTTAACCTAAAACAAGCAGATTGAAAGTTAAAGTTCACTAAAAACCCATTTCCCACTGCGAGAAAAACCAGTTTAAAACCAGAAACAATGACCCACAGCTAGTTCATGATTGTAACTCTTGCATTGTGGCGTGGAATAATATGGCGCAGCCCACGGTTCAAACTTGAGCATAAATCGAAAATGTCTGCATCAAGCTCACTGCGACACACTGCTGCGGGGGGATTTGATTTAAGTATAACCAGGGTTGGTTATACTTATTCATTAAATCACCACGAACGTATAAGTTTTAGGTATAAATAATGACCCATTGGTTATTCCTTCCTGACCGGACTTTTCATTTAAAAGTAGGATCATAATCTTGATGAACTGAAAGAACAGCTGACATTTTGAGAGGCCTTTATCACTTAAAGGAATAGTACACCCAAAACTTGATTAGCCTTCATTTTCTACTCACCCCCATGCTGAACAACACTCTGGAGTACTTTTTTGATATCTCAAATGCATCTGGAGATCTGGGAGGCTTCTTGCTGTCTGCTGACATTCAAATAATGGAGGTCTATGGCGCCCGAGGCAGAAAGGTCCATAAAAGTCCACAAAAAACGTGTCAATATTCCTCCATACTGCTCGTCCAATGTATTCCAAGTGTCCTGGGTGGGTAGCGTCCATAATTTACTCGAAACGAAGTCATTTAGAATGTTTTTAGAGCATAAACAGTAGTGCATAGGATTTCCTGAAAGCGCGTTCACGAGTCTACGGAAACCGCGGCAGACCAAACCAGATGAAAGTGCGCATTCAGCGTCTGCTCTGCCGATAATGCAAGCGTAGAAGAAGAAATGTGCTGTTTACCTGTGCAAAGAAAGAAACAACGAAAGAAAAATGTCTGAGGACTTCAGTGTTGAGGAAGAGCATGAGTTCTTTGCCGAGCTGAATGCGCACTTTCATCTGGTTTGGTCTGCCGCGGTTTCCGTAGACTCGTGAACTCGCATGCACGCGCGTTTAGGAAATCCTATGCACTACTGTTTATGCTCTAAAAACATTCTAAATGACTTGGTTTCGAGTAAATTCTGGATGCTACCCACTCAGGACACTTGGAATACATTGGACGAGCAGTATGGAGGAATATTGACACGTTTTTTGTGGACTTTTATGGACCTTTCTGCCTCGGGCGCCATAGACCTCCATTATTTGAATGTCAGCAGACAGCAAGAAGCCTCCCAGATCTCCAGATGCATTTGAGATATCAAAAAAGTACTCCAGAGTGTTGTTCAGCATGGGGGTAAGTAGAAAATGAAGGCTAATCATGTTTTAGGTGTACTATTCCTTTAAAGACCTCCATCCATCTTCTCCTTTTTAGTTCTGTCAGGGTCACGCTGGGGCTGGTGACTATCTGCGACAGTCTATGGGTGAGAGGTGAGAAACACCCTGGACGTGTCGCCAGTCTGTTACAGGGCAACACTCATACAAAGACACTCAACCATGCACACTCACACCTAAGGGCAATTTAGAAAAGTTATGTGTTTGGACTGTGGGAGGAAGCCGGAGTACCCGGAGAGACTCCAGGCATGCACGGAGAGAACATGCACTGTGCTACAGAATGTAGAGGCATCAAAAACGCTCTAGATGTCTGAATATCCACAGTGCAGAGGTGAACAAGACGAAGCGTTTGATGGTGAAAATGCTTTCAGAGTGAACGCGACTTATTTTGGATTATCTATTTGCAGCTAAATTGCACAGAATGAATATGAATATTCAACATTTCATTGTAACAGAGGAAAATACGCTTTTGAAAGTCTTCCCTCATAGATTACCTTGGTGTGCGTCAGGTTGCCTCTGATCTTCCATCCAGTTCCAGCCTGTGGCAGAGCCCCGATGGGCTCCTTCACTCTGCAGGTAGCCTTCTGCTTTAAGTCTGGCCTCCATGTCCGGACTAAATCCTTCCCCCAGTGCTTCGTCCAAAAGGCTCATGTCTTCCAAGATGTTAAAATCCTCCAAGAAGTTGCTTATTTGACCGGAAAGACTGTCTGCTTCTATCTCATCCAAGACACTGAATGATATGTAGTCAAGCTGTTGGTTTAAATCGTTCCCCTCCGAAGCTCGGCTATAACCGTTAGTTAGATCAGAGCTAAAGGAGGGGAGAGGTGCTAACAGGTCCATGCTGAAGGCTGTAGCGTCGACGTTAGCATGTGTTCCTTTGGTAAAGTCTTCTACAGGATTCTGAGCCAGCAGGTGTGAGTAGGTTGAAGGATCAAACCAGGAGTTCCTGCTGTAGTTTCCTAAAGCGCTCAGCTCTGAACTGCTGTCATCCAGTTCATCACTGGGAGTCAGGGGAAGCAGGACTGGCTTCTGCTCCAACTGATCAGGAATCCCTAAACGGAAAAAAGAGCATTTCAGAAACAGCTGCAAAACATCTAAATCTAGATAAGTAATTTTTTCTTAAAATAAGTGCTTTTGTTCTTGAATTGAGGAGGTAAAGAGACATTTTGCCTATGGAACAAGACAATTTACACTTAAAATAAGAAAACACAATTGCATTATCTTATTTCAAGTGCATATTCTCTAATTATCTTATTTTAAGAGTAAAATTACTCATTTACCTACTAAAATTAAGGGTGGATACACTTCATTTAAGAAATTTTTACTTATTTCTAGATCATTTTTGCAGTGAGAAGGAATCTCAAGACGAAAATGAAACGATTGCTGTGCCGGTAAACCAAAATGGTCGCCCATTAAATAACAACTCGCTCCACTTTCCACCCAAAACACCTGAAGTCAGGGTCCGATCCGAGGTGAATAACTATAGATGGAGGATTCCATGTGTGCCGTCACGGACCGATCGTCTAGGAAACACGATCCGCCAATAGATATACATCCGGGCTTCTATAAATAATGTAATAATGGAAATAACTTGCATATTTCTATCCTTATCTCTCTAAAGAATGCTAAAACACATCTTAAAAAGAATGTTTTACGACTTTTGTGAGACAATTTTGATGCTTTTTATATTTTCTTCATTAAACTGCTTCTCTGACGTTTTAGGAGCCATAAATGAAAAGATGCTTTGATGTTCGTTCGTCTGAGTTTATAGCAGTTATGTTTTTTTTGTTTTTTTTGTAGGTTTGGTTGTTTCTTTGTAAGGGAATGGATGAATTAGGTTTGGGAGGAGTTTTGTAAATGGGCATATTACACCCCTTTCAGTGGTAGAGAGTGGGTGAGTGGGCTGCTGGATTTTTCGTTGACTGCAATACAAATCGCTGTAATCTACGTTTGAAAACGTATACAGTGGGGCAAAAAAGTATTTAGTCAGCCACCAATAGTGCAAGTTCTCCCACTTAAAAAAGATGAGAGAGGCCGGTAATTTTCATCATAGATATACCTCAACTATGAGAGACAAAATGAGAAAAAAAATCCAGAAAATCACATTGTCTGATTTTTAAAGAATTTATTTGCAAAATATGGTGGAAAATAAGTATTTGGTCAATAACAAAAGTTCATCTCAATACTTTGTTATATACCCTTTGTTGGCAATGTCAGAGATCAAACGTTTTCTATAAGTCTTCACAAGGTTTTCACACACTGTTGCTGGTATTTTGGCCCATTCCTCCATGCAGATCTCCTCTAGAGCAGTGATGTTCTGGGGCTGTCGCTGGGCAACACGGACTTTCAACTCCCTCCAAAGATTTTTTATGGGGTTGAGATCTGAAGACTGGCTAGGCCACTCCAGGACCTTGAAATGCTTCTTACGAAGCCACTCCTTCGTTACCCGGGCGGTGTGTTTGGGATCATTGTCATGCTGAAAGACCCAGCCACGTTTCATCTTCAATGCCCTTGCTGATGGAAGGAGGTTTTCACTCAAAATTTGACGATACATGGCCCCATTCATTCTTTCCTTCACACAGATCAGTCGTCCTGGTCCCTTAGCAGAAAAACAGCCCCAAAGCATGATGTTTCCACCCCCATGCTTCACTGTAGGTATGGTGTTCTTTGGATGCAACTCAGCATTCTCTCTCCTCCAAACACGACGAGTAGAGTTTTTACCAAAAAGTTCTATTTTGGTTTGATCTGACCATATGATATTCTCCCAGTCATCGTCTGGATCATCCAAATGCTCTCTAGCAAACTTGAGACGGGCCTTGACATGTACTGGCTTAAGCAGGGGGACACGTCTGGCACTGCAGGATTTGAGTCCCTGGCGGCGTAGTGTGTTACTGATGGTAGCCTTTGTTACTTTGGTCCCAGCTCTCTGCAGGTCATTCACTATGTCCCCCCGTGTGGTTCTGGGATTTTTACTCACCGTTCTTGTGATCATTTTGACCCCACAGGGTGAGATCTTGCGTGGAGCCCCAGATCGAGGAAGATTATCAGTGGTCTCGTATGTTTTCCATTTTCTAATAATTGATCCCACAGTTGATTTCTTCACACAAAGCTGTTTACCTATTGCAGATTCAGACTTCCCAGCCTGGTGCAGGTCTATCATTTTGTTTTGGGTGTCCTTCGACAGCTTTCTAGTTTTGGCCATGGTGGAGTTTAGAGTGTGACTGTTTGAGGTTGTGGACAGGTGTCTTTTATACTGATAACGGGTTCAAACAGGTGCCATTAATGAAGGTAACGAGTGGAGGACAGAGGAGCCTCTTACAGAAGAAGTTACAGGTCTGTGAGAGCCAGAAATCTTGCTTGTTTGTAACTGACCAAATACATATTTTCCACCATATTTTGCAAATAAATTCTTTAAAAATCAGACAATGTGATTTTCTGGATTTTTTTTTCTCATTTTGTCTCTCATAGTTGAGGTATATCTATGATGAAAATTACTGGCCTCTCTCATCTTTTTGAGTGGGAGAACTTGCACTATTGGTGGCTGACAGCACCATATTCACCCCGCGAGTTCGCTTCATTCATTCTGGTCGGTGTCTACATCGCGCCGCATGCAAACGTGCAGGACGCACAGCTCACGCTCGCTGATCAGATACTGAGTGTGGAGCGGAGCAACCCGGACTCCTTAGTTATTGTCCTTGGTGACTTTAATAAAGGTAACCTCAGTCATGATCTTCCTAAATACAGACAGTTTATTAAATGCCCGACCAGAGCGGATAACATTCTGGATCACTGTTACACCACCATCAGGGATGCTTATCACGCTGTCCCCCGTGCTGCACTGGGCCAATCCGACCACGTCATGGTCCACCTGATTCCTGCTTACAGACAGAAACTAAAGCTCTGCAAACCTGTGGTGAGGAAATCAAAGAATTGGACCAGTGAGGCTGTGGAGGATCTTCAGGCGTGTTTGGGTTCTACTGACTGGGACGTCTTCAGGGCTGCTACCAACAGTCTGGATGAGTTCACAGAGGCTGTGACATCATACATCAGCTTCTGTGAGGACTGCTGTATTCCAACACGAACCAGGGTGAATTACAATAATGACAAACCCTGGTTCACTGGCAAACTCAGAAGACTTAGGTTGGACAAGGAAGAGGCCGTCAGGAGCGGAGATAAATGCAGATTCAAAGATGCAAAATACAAGTTTAGCAAGGCGGTGAAAGAGGGTAAACGACTGTACTCTGAGAAGCTGCAAAACCATTTTTCTGCCAGCGACTCTGCCTCTGTCTGGAAAGGGCTTAGGCAGATAAACTACAAGCCCAAAGCCCCCCACTCCATGAACGACCGACAGTTAGCCAACGACCTGAACAACTTCTACTGTCGTTTCGACAGACAAAGGGACAGTCATGCATCCACCCCCCACAACACCACCCAACAGATCACCTCCACCTCCTCCTCCTCAGTGACAACTCTTTCCATAAAAGAGAGAGATGTAAACAAAATCTTCAAAAAACAGAACCCCCGGAAAGCTGCTGGACCAGATTCTGTCACTCCATCCACTTTGAAGCTCTGTGCTGACCAGCTGTCTCCAGTGTTCACAGACATTTTTAACACCTCACTGGCGACATGTCACGTGCCAGCCTGCTTTAAATCCTCCACCATCATCCCTGTCCCCAAGAAGCCAAGGACCACAGGACTTAATGACTTTAGACCCGTCGCCCTGACCTCTGTGGTCATGAAGTCCTTCGAGCGTCTTGTGCTGTCACACCTGAAAGAAATCACTGACCTCCTCCTGGACCCCTTTCAGTTTGCCTACAGAACCAACAGGTCTGTAGATGACGCTGTCAACCTGGCCCTTCACCACATTCTCCAGCACCTGGACTCCGCAGGAACCTACGCCAGGATCCTGTTTGTGGACTTCAGCTCGGCCTTCAACACAATCATCCCAGCTCTTTTCCAGGAGAAGCTCTCCCAGCTGAATGTGCCTGACTCCACCTGCAGGTGGATCACAGACTTCCGGTCGGACAGGAAGCAGCACGTAAAGCTGGGAACACAGTTCTCTGACTCACAGCTCATCAGCACTGGTTCCCCCCAGGGCTGTGTTCTTTCTCCTCTGCTCTTCTCCCTGTACACCAACAGCTGCACCTCCAGTCATCAGTCTGTCAAGCTCCTGAAGTTCGCAGACGACACCACTCTCATCGGACTGATCTCCGATGGTGACGAGTCCGCCTACAGGTGGGAGGCTGACCATCTGGTGACCTGGTGCAGGGAGAACAACCTGGAGCTCAACGCTCTAAAAACCGTGGAGTTGGTTGTGGACTTCAGAAAGAGCACAGCCCCAGCTACCCCCATCACCCTCTGGGACTCCACCATTGGCACTGTGGAGTCTTTCCGCTTCCTGGGAACTATCATCTCCCAGGACCTAAAGTGGGAGCTGAACATCGACTCCCTCACCAAGAAAGCCCAGCAGAGGATGTACTTCCTGCGGCAGCTGAAGAAATTCAACCTGCCCAGGACAATGATGGTGCAGTTCTACTCCTCCATCATTGAGTCCATCCTCACTTCCTCCATCACCATCTGGTACGCTGGTGCCACCGCTAAGGACAAGAGCAGACTGCAGCGTGTCATCCGGTCTGCAGAGAAGGTGATTGGCTGCAACCTCCCATCTCTCCAGGAGCTGCACGCCTCCAGGACTCTGAGGCGTGCAGGGAAGATTGTGGCTGATCCCTCGCACCCCAGTCACAAACTATTTCAGTCACTACCCTCTGGCAGGAGGCTGCGCTCCATCAGGACCAGAACCTCCCGTCACAAAAACAGTTTTTTCCCATCTGCTATCGGCCTTATCAACAAGGCCAAGACCCGCCCGTGACACTGAACAATGTTTCTCTCCCCCATTCAGGATTTCTGCGTTACATTAACGCACAGTCTACTGCTTCTATATAGCCTCTGTGTATATATACATATAATATATATATATATATATATAAATATATATATATATATATATATATATATATATATATATATATATATATATATATATATATATATATTCTATCTTATTTTGTTATTTTGTTTTGTTTTGTTTTTTTTTGTCTGCACCAACAACACCAAGTCAAATTGGCAATAAACTTGATTCTGATTCTGATTCTGACTAAATACTTTTTTGCCCCACTGTATTTTGGAGATGTTGTTTATACCTATGATCTGAATAAAGTTCATATCAGCACCATATTGATCTCAGTGGATTCCTTTTTTGAAAGATTGCATCAGACAAGGAAAGGTCCGACCTCAGACTCTCAGCAGCTTTTTTTGTTTCCTGAAGTTGCTGCAATAGACGTCATCATGGGACATCCTCAGAGCAGTCCGACTAAAATATGATTAAAACATGTTTATCTGCATTTCAGCTGTTTCTTTCTTTAGATTACACACTATTTAGCATAATGTCAACATGAAAGGAATCCATAAAACTCCAAAAGGCTAGATTTATGCTAGCTCCGGGAAGTAGCGTAGATCGGTGCAGATTGGGAACAGACGAGTTATAAAACAGGATTTAAATGCTTTTATTTTCTCAGGAAATAAATTATAAACCTTTAACACTTTATATTTAGTAGGCTTACTATTTTTGGGGAGGAAAAAACATAATTTAAATCTATTTAACAAAATAAAATTGAGGGCGACCTCGATGTATATGTAGATGCATGAGCTGATGGCGCATTCGCAGGACGGATCGGGTAGTGACTGCGTCTAAGAAGGTCAAAGGTCAAAATGGGTCAGTTAGTGATGTAACTCACCGTTCAGCAAGACTGCAGACCCTGTAAGAGGGTCCATCTGATGCCCCACTGGTCCAGCCCTGCCAGAGGGCGGAGCATCAGGTCCATCAGGGGTGTGGTTTAAAGCCGTCATCATTTCAACACCTATGTTCTGCAAATGAAAGTCTAAGTTTTCATCGGACGTTTTTCATGCATCGAACATTTTATCTTATCTTTTATCAAAAATATTCCCTCACCTGAGGCTCCAGGATGTCCATTAGATCCCGCCACTGGGTTTCCAGGTCCGCACCCAGAACCAGTGGCTGATTTTCAGGGAGGGCGCTGGGGGGCGTGGACTCAGTGCCAGAGGATTGTTGTTCCCCTTCATCACTTATCTCAACACCATTTATCTAGAGGTCAGGAGAGGAGTGAAAATAAGGGAATTATTTGAGGGGTGGGATTCCCTCCACTTCAGGGGTGGGGCCTTTACTGAGTGGTTAAAGCAAAGATGCATTTCTGTTGGTCTATTTTTGGGAAAAGTTTGATCGTTTTTACTGGTATGTCTGTTTAAAAGTTGGGGAAATGATTTAAATCATCATATAAAAGCACAAACTAAAGAAAAGTAATGATATCAAATATGAAATTCTTACTCTACCACATAGAATTTCCATAAAGGATATATGTTTTCCAGACTATCATGCAATCCAGGGGAGCCACACTAGTAGATTATATATCTAAAAAGTGCTGCAATAAAAAAAAAAAAAACAAGATAAACAAACAGTTGCCTTTTGTATCTATGCTTCTTTTTCTATGTCTGCTTCTGTCTCCTTGAACCCCAGTGGGCCTCAGCAGATGGCCGCTCACACTGAGCCTGGTTCTGCTGGAGGTTTCTTCCTGTTCAAAGGGAGTTTTTCCTCTCCACTGTCGCTACAAGCATGCTTAGTGTGAGGGATTGCTGAAGAGTCAATGAGTCGATGCAATCAGCTGGTTTTCCTTAGATAACTTTTAAGCAATCTGACTGGATGATCTGTTGAACTATAAAGTGTCTTGAGATGAGGTGTGTTGTGAATTGGCGCTATAGAAATAAACTGAACTGAATTAAATCAGAGCAGCATAGGAACTAAATGCTGCTTCTCCATTTTTGGTTCTAGTTCTGGGTGTTCGGAGTAGCCTGGAATTAGAAGACCTGAGTAGTCTGGGCGGTTGATCCACTGACAATAGATCTGTTATGGATTGAGGTGCTGATCTATTCAATGATTTCTAGACTAACCGAAGCATTTTAAAGTCTATTCTCTGAGCTACAGGGAGTCAGTGAAGGAGAACCGGGGTGATGTGCTCTACTTTCTTAGTTCTAGTGAGAACAAGGGCAGCAGCGTTTAGTTCCACGACAGCAAAGCACACAGACGTCTGATGTGATCCTAGAAGACATCAGAGTTTTACTTCATGTTTATAACTTCTGTTATCAGCTGATGTTGTTGGGGGGACTTGAAAGGCAATCTTACATTTTAAATTACAATTTCGGTTTTATTCGACACATCAAAAAATGGAAGTTTAATAATAACTTCCTGATTGAGTGGTTCTGGAAATCAGTGTGTTAAAATTAAAACCTTACATTTAAAAACCTCAATGGTTTGGCTCCTTTAATGGAAAACAGCCAAATCCTTAAAGGACAGATCAGCTGACGCTGTGTGGCCTGTTTACATATGGAGGGTCTGGGCTGTTCGGGGATTATTTGGGGAAGGAATAAACAAGCTGGATTGCAAAATCCCAACATATAAAAATGAGTCAGGGATCAAGTTTCAAAACAACACGGCCAGTCACAAGGTTGGCAGGACACTGATGCAGAAAGTTCTGTGCGACTGTATGGCTGTTGGTTTCTGTGCCTGATATTTGATATGTGTGTATAGCTGTTTGCGTGTGTGTGGGGGGCGGTTAAAGACGCCGATCTACAGACGCTCATGAAAAGAAGCTGCCGGTTTCAAGCTGTCTGTGCTGTAGCTGCTGGCAGGGAACAGCGGCTACAGCACTGATGCAAACAAGACACTATTCGTGACTTAAAAAAACAATGTACTTCCTTTACAGATTTATGCTTTGCTTTGTTTTCACATAGAAATGTTTTAGGTCAAATACATTCTGGTAATTAATTTATTAGTATGTAATCAGGCCCAAGTCTGAGGAGTTAAATTTAACCCAAAAATATAATTATTTACTGAATTTATTGATGGATGGATGGACAGACGGATGGATGGATTTTAGTTTTAGCATTAAAATATGAAGTTTATTTAGTTCCATAATTGTTAAAATACTTGAAAATTTTTTTTATGGAAATTTAAAAATTAGCTTTTCAGTTTTTATTTTTCAAATCATTACATTTTCTAAAATCTTTTTCTGTTGTCATCCACTGATGTGTTTGAAGTTCAGTCAACAGGAGCCTGAGGTTTTAGTTGGTTTAACATTAAATTCCTTACTTATTGCTCATTTAAACATTAAAGGGTCAGTTAAAGAATACATTAATCATTTAATGTGAAAATATTTGAATGTTTTTTTGTTTCTACTTATTATTTAGCTTTTATGAGATGTTTCCTTTCTGCTGTGTTACAAACTGACTCCATTACTTAATTTTTCTGGTGACGTCATTTTTAGAAGACTGAGCTCTGCTGTTGACTCATCAGCCTGTGACTCAGTGCGTCACCAAAGCACCACCTTAGTTTAAACCCCAGGTTATGAAGCTGTCCTGCTAATATGGCCGCTGCTGCACATCTTCAGCAGATGAATGCAGAGCTGTCCAAAGCAGAGCTATTTAGTTTATTATCATTTATCCATGTCAGTAATAAAATATGTAGCACTGTTGTCAAAAACTTGCTTTTAAACAGTTCATTAGCCTAAATAGACTTCCTCAGGTTGAACTATGCGATGGTGATGCTGCTATAGGCTTAGACTGCTGGAGGACATAGGGACCCCTTTTTCATCATTCTGCTTCATTCTATCTCTATTCTCCCACTCTGCAGAATCTGTTAGTTCAATCTCTAACGTTCTGCTCTCTCTGCTTTTTCTCATAGTAGCTTCATCTGGTCTGTTCCTGTTTGGCTGTGACTCCATCCTGGAGAGAAATATCAGCTGTGCTGCTGCCATCAACACCTTTGATTCTAGATGTTGGAGCTTGGCCTGTTTTCCAGTTTAGTCCTGTTTCTCTGACTGTGACTAACTGGATGTGCTCTCTTCATCCTCTGACATGGGAGCTGGCTCGGAGCTCGTCTGCCTGGCTGTGTGTTTCCTGGACGGGGCCGCAGGTGGAGCTGGTTGACAGTTGCCTTTTGTATCTATGCTTCTTTTTCTATGTCTGCTTCTGTCTCCTTGAACCCCAGTGGGCCTCAGCAGATGGCCGCTCACACTGAGCCTGGTTCTGCTGGAGGTTTCTTCCTGTTCAAAGGGAGTTTTTCCTCTCCACTGTCGCTACAAGCATGCTTAGTGTGAGGGATTGCTGAAGAGTCAATGAGTCAATGAAATCAACTGGTTTTCCTTAGATAGAAAACTTTGAATCAATTTGACTGGATGATCTGGTTAAATTAAAAAGTGTCTTGAGCTGACGTGTTGTAAATTGCCGCTATATAAATAAACTGAATTGAATTGAAATAGTGAAATGATGCTGCGTGTTCAATTAAAATAACTCTCACCCTTGACCTGCTCAGTAGTTAGCACATGCTAAGCCTCGCTATGTTCAAAGAATTGGTCATATGGACTGACAGATCAAAATTTTTTTTTATTATTTTTCAAAATCTTCATTGTTTTTAGCCATTTTTATTTGATTTTGGATGTTTGTAAAAGGTGAAAAGAAAAAGATTTATAAAACGACTATACCTGTTTTAATGACTAAATAATTCAGACACATACAAACATACATCTCTGAATAGAAAAGTCATTTCAGAAAAAAAGTTTTACAGTAAATATCTGAGAAAGGAAGATAATGAAGTATACGGCTCCATCCCAAAAGAAAAATGAGAATAACCAAGAATATCATTACCAAAATATACATATGCTTAACTGTTAATCATTCATTATATTACATTTAAATCGACTGGCCTCATAAGCATTTTATGAGATTTATATTATTTTCCTTTTCTTAGTTTATATAAATTACATTATTTTAAGACCAGAGAGTATTCCCAATATGAATGTATAATGCACCTTTGATGATGTCACATTGTTGTCAATCTGCCTCAAACAAGTAAAGCTTGAAAAATTGGTGCTTAAAGGAGTTTATTGGTGTAAAAGGTTTTCTATATAACTACTATAAATAAATTCTGTTTGTAATTTTTTTATTATGTAACATTTTGCTTTATTGTGGGATATTTAAATACTCTCTTTTCAAGTCATAAGTCATCTAAACAATGTTTTACTTTGATATATGCAGCCAGAATTATATGAAACAATTTACATAAACTGATTTCTATGAACTATTATTTTTCGCATTATTTAAAAAAAAGGCAGATTTGTTCGTAAACTCTATAAAGAAATCACCATAGAAATGATAATTTCATTGTTTAAAACTACATAAATCAATCCTAGGAACATTTTTTATGTATTTTTTCTTAACATTTTCAGCCCTTAAATATTTTTTATTCAAAGGGACACTGCGTTTCATGGTCTAAAAAAAAAGAACAAAATATTTTATTTTAATGCTGAATTATTATAATCTGATCATTAGATCTTTACAGGTAATGGAAGGAAAAATGGATGGCATTTCTTTTGTGTAAAATCCTTTACCTAATTAATTGATCATTAAAATCAAGCCGTACAATAGTCTAAATTAAACATGACGAGGTTCTTAGATTTACCTTTTATTTATTTTTTTTCAAGCAGAATAAAAATGGTGAAAAGTTTAATCCAAATATAACAAATATACTATTTCATATTATAAATTAATCTTTTCACACCACAGCTTAATATTAGTACTCTAAACATCTTTGTGATTTTAAACTAAACTAACTGGACTGGGTCAAACCACTCATTTAAAAAAGGCTGTACGGGTTTATATTCTATGGAGGAAAGGGATTCTACTCCATATTCAGAGACAATTGACGCTTTTCACTTGTCAAATGTTTTTTCTGTAAATAAACATGCCATATGAACATAGTGTAAATTGATTTAAAGTACCTCTTGCTCCATAGCTGGCTCCCTTTGGTCTATCTCTGTGTCACCGTGGGCTCTGTCCATCAGGGGGGGTTGGTCAGGAAATCCCTGAAGCAGAGGAGCTGATTCCCGTTGGACCAGCCATGTCTCCAGCTCTGCCTGAGGAACCTGTGAATGAAGGCAGCTTCTTTCAAAAACAGACAATATGAACTTTGAATTGTATATAGTTTTACTGTCTGGCTGAGATTTATGATCTTAACAGATTTTAAAATATTTATAGCTTCGAGAGGCGCTGCTATAGGCTTAGACTGCTGGAGGACATAGGGACCCCTTTTTCATCATTCTGCTTCATTCTATCTCTATTCTCCCACTCTGCAGAATCTGTTAGTTCAATCTCTAACGTTCTGCTCTCTCTGCTTTTTCTCATAGTAGCTTCTGAACCGGACAGTGTCGTTCATTAATAAAAACACACACCTTTTCCTTTTTGCTATATGTAGTGAGGACCATGTTTTCATTTACATTCGTTTTCAGTTGCTTCCAACACTTTCTTTGCCCTGAAAATAACTGAACCATTTCCAGTGTATAAACAACCCTAATATAACCAAAACTTAATTCATACTTTAGTCCTAAACTAACCATTGGCAAAACAGAAAGGAGGACCAGCAAAATGTTCACACTTTAAAAATTACTTTGATAGTGAAATTGTGAAATGGTCCTCACTCTGATGCCAAAACAGGAGCGCACAGACATATTAGGACTTTCTCTTAATTCCTAACCCCGAAATTTTCCACAAACATTTCCTTTTCTAACTCCAACCATTTCCAGTATATTCCCAACCTATATTTAATCGACTTTATTAGAGACCTGCTTTAGGATGTAAATGGGGGTCCGCCACACAGTATCCTGTGGAACCAACTACCAGTTTTAGTCCGTGAGGCAGACCCCCTGTCTACTTTTAAGGCTAGGCTTAAAACTTTCCTTTTTGATAAAGCTTCTAGTTAGAGTGGCTCAGGTTATCCTGAGCTATCTCTATAGTTGTGCTGCTATAGGCTTAGACTGCTGGAGGACATAGGGACCCCTTTTTCATCATTCTGCTTCATTCTATCTCTATTCTCCCACTCTGCAGAATCTGTTAGTTCAATCTCTAACGTTCTGCTCTCTCTGCTTTTTCTCATAGTAGCTTCTTCTGGTCTGTTCCTGTTTGGCTGTGACTCCATCGTGGAGAGAAATATCAGCTGTGCTGCTGCCATCAGCACCTTTGTTTCTAGATGTTGGAGCTTGGCCTGTTTTCCAGTGTAGTCCTGTTTCTCTCTTAGAGATAGTTATGGGCTCAGCTTGTGATAAACTGTATCTGCTCTGTTTTTTATCCTTTTTCATATGAAAACTGTCTCAGAGCTCATCTGCTTAAATGTTTCTATCCTAAACTTAGGGACCTATGGAGCTACTTTATGGTTACCCATGAACTGAGCTGTCAGTTTAGGTGAATAGAGTTGTTCTCCCAGTCCATACTGGTTTTAAACTAACTTCACTGTAAACACTGAACCCGGTCTTTCAGTTTTTGCATGAGCCTAAGTGAGTCCTGGATTAACCAAAAGTGAGACTACAATCAATGGGAACCAGACCTTTGCTCAGTTTTCTGAAAACATTTTGACATTTATTTTCAACAATCCGTCTGAGTCTGACTCCGACCCCGTTGAGGATTGACCTCCAGGATTTCAAAAAAATAACCGCTCCTGCTGCATGTTACTCCATTTCTGTACTGGGAAACCAATCAATGCAATGAGATCATTCACTTCTGTCACATATGAAGTCAGAATTTCGCCAAAACCTTGTTGATGAAAGTTTGATTTAATTCAAAAGCCCAAAATTATTCTCTTGATTCAGTCATTAAAAGCTTCATATTAATATGCCATTAATGCCAATAATAAGAGGAGGTTAAGTTCTGAATGGTATGAGGTTTATATATGAAGGAGTTTTACAACCTCTGAAATGTTGAATGAAAAATTGAGTTTTATTTCCTCTAAAACCATAATAGAAGATGATATGGGTCCGGTAAAGGAACCCTGTTCCAGTAAAACTCACATCACCCGGTTTCTAAAGGTTCAATTAATCCTCAGGACCTTTGGATGCAGGGGGCGCTCCTAAAGACCTTCTATGACTGCTGTGGCATCAGCCATCTTCTATGAAGTGTCTGTTGGAGCAGTGGCTTATCTGTAGCTGAGATAAAGCAGCTGGATCAGCTGATCAGGAAGTCCAGCTCTGTGATTGGATGGCCTGTGCAGGAGGTGGGAAACAGTCGGATCCTAACTGAATAACATCTCTGTTGGATAATGTCTCCCCGCATGCATGAAGCTGGTGCTGAACTGGACAGCTCCTTCAGTGACAGACTGCTGCACCTTAAATGCACCAGGGAGCGTTATCACAGATCCTTCCTCCCAGCAGCTGGAAGACTCTAGAACCACCACTGTTCCCAACAACCTCAACCAGTTCTTCCATTCATGATGATTTTGAACAGTTTCTACCTTAGTCAGTTAAATAACATGCTGCTGTCATTTTGCACATCTCTGATGTTGCTGCTATTTTCAAATATACAGAGCATTTATATTTTAAAAACACTGTACAGTACTTATTTGTTTATTTTCTCAACTGTTACTTATTCTGTTATTTTTATACATTTTCTAAGGTCCACATTTGTGTGACCAGATCTGCTATAAGTTTTTGCTGCTATAACGCCACAATTTTCCCATTGCGGGACAATAAAAGGGATTTTTTATTTCCATTTTGTTTAATCAAAAACGTATCTGAAAGCTTTGGGGTCAGTTTTCCTACCTGTATCCTGTCCAGAGAGTGAACCCAGCCTAACAGGCGGCGTGCCGTAAAAAAACGCTCCAGATCCACATTCTTGGGATGCAGAGTGTTCTGGTTGTGGGACGGGGTTTGGGTCGGTGCAGAGTTCTGACCCAGAATCATATCACACCAGGAACGAGGCAGGAAAGGCTCCAGCCCCACGTCCACTCTGATTCCACAAAGACTTAACAGGATGGTCATCTGAATCAGCTCCTCTGGGAAGTATTTCTTTAGGGGCAACATAGTTTGGATTGTTCTCTACAAACCAAAGGTTTGTAAAGGTTGTTCCACACAGATGTTTCTCCTTTTGGATGATGGTTGGAGTCCTTCCAAGTCCTGGTAGGTGCTCTGTTAAAAGATTTCTGTGTGGATCGATTAAAATCATTTGCAAAGTGTCATTTTTGCTTGATGAGAGGGATCAACAGTCATTTTTCATGAAGCGTTATGGCAGGTTATCAGGAAGGTCTTCGAAGTGAAGCGATTTATTTGTCGACAACATGCTGAGAAATAACAAAAAAGAAAGAAAATGTTAATTAATTTCTACTTGAAAGAGATTCGTTTCTCTGAAAAACAAAAGGAAAAACCCCGACCGAATGACCAAAGGTGTGTCTTTCAATGGTTTATTGGTTTTTTGGTGAAGTTTTTAATAAGATTAACCCATTTTATAATTTCATGGTATATCCAAAATAATCTTTTTAGATGAATAGATAAATGTTACAGCTAACTACTTCATGGTACATCTTTTTATTTTATGGGACATTCACATTTGCATATTTCAAGATATATTTGGACCTCCATATGACATCCTTCACCACAGGGGCATAAAACAGCCCCATTCTCCAGATAGAGAAATGTTAATAGAATAGACATCCATTATCTGTTCTAGGTTGTGTCCCTCTCTTCTTGTCCCTTTTCTTCTTGTTTTCCTCTCTATGTTTTGTACTCAGCTGACTTTTCATGCTGTCTCTAAAGGAATGAAAGATTTTTTCCAAGCACTAAGCTCACTTAGCTGATTGCTCCTTCCTGTGCTTTATAAGGGAACAAATTTTATTATAGAAATAATACAAAAAAAAACTAAATAAATATATTCAATTTTAGTTTAGTTCAAGGCTAAAAAGGTTATTTTACAGACAGAATTCTTTCCAGTTATTATATATTATTATTGCTCTGCTGCCATTTGAACTTAGCATAAAGTAATATAACAATAACCAATTATTTACACATTATGTGTTACACTTCAAATATGTTTAATATTGTAGTATCTTAATTGTTTAAGATGTAGAAATGTTTCTGAAACTGGTTGATTTTTTTGTGAAAGTTCAGATCAGGAAAGATGAAAGGAGGTCAAAGTACAACAAGATGTTATGATCTGTAAAAATCTGTCAATGCAACAGGTTGCACAATGTTTCCAGCCATTATAAGATAAGAAAACAAGCTGGTTATTTGACACGACTTTCACTGTATCTAATGAAGTCTGAGTTCAGCACAGGAGGAATCCTGTTGAAAAGTTTAGCCTAATCCTGAGGAGTGTGAGCTGTTGGTCTTACCAGGCTTCCTCTGTTCAGCGGCTCGGCTGCAGCTCTCAGTCGAACACATCCAGGATTCTGTTTCTGTTCTAAGTTAGAAGCTGAGCCTTTTTAAAGCAGCAGCCCTGCTGCAGGCTCCGCCTCCCAGTGAGTCACACTGGGAGCTGCCTGTTGGTGTGTGGCAGCTTTCACTGCACAGATTACATCAGCCCTCTCAGTGCTTCAGTAACATCTAAACACTTGGATGATGTGACACATTTGTGTTTTCTTCCTCCAAAAACATGGTTGTGAAGATTCTCAGTCATCCAGGTCATAGTCGTTGCTGGAGTCTCTGAAAAACTCAAGAGGATTTTCTCCAAACACAAAATTCCAGTAGATTTCCAACCAAACAGGAGCCTTAAACAGAGACTAGAGCAGGGGTCATCAACGCGGTGCCCGCGGGCACCAAGGGGCCCTAAAGAACCACATGGGGGGCCCTTTTCGTCTTCTGAAAACGGAAGAACTCACTCAGTGGGTTAAGTTTATCCACTATAAAGTCTCAAACTCAATGCTATTTCCGACATTTTGAAATGGAAAAGCTTCCTGGGTGGGAAGCGAAACGTCTTCAAACTTGGAAACAGAGTTCAGTGGGTTGTTTTTTGTTTTACTATTTTTAGAATCGACCTGGATGACTGAGGATCTTCACCACCATATTTCAATAAGTACAGAAATGGTGCTGCAGCAAACAGCAAAAGGGCTCCGCAGCGCCATCTAACAGAGAGGCGGTGAAAAGGAAGCTCATTTCCACTCATTGTTTTAGGTTAAAAAAATATATATTTTTAATCAATATTAGGAACTATTCAATTCAATTCAGTTTATTTCTATAGCTCCAATTCACATCATGTCATCTCAGGTCACTTTCCAGTTCACCAGATCATCCAGTCAGATTGATTCAACGTTTTCTATCTAAGGAAAACCAGCTGATTGCATCGACTCATTGACTCTTCAGCAACCCTCACTCTAAGCATGCTTGTAGCGACAGTGGAGAGGAAAAACTCCCTTTGAACAGGAAGAAACCTCCAGCAGAACCAGGCTTAGTGTGAGCGGCCATCTGCTGAGGCCCACTGGGGTTCAAGGAGACAGAAGCGGACATAGAAAAAGAAGCATAGATACAAAAGGCAACTGTCAACCAGCTCCACAGGCGGCCCCGTCCAGGAAACACACAGCCAGGCAGACGAGCTCCGAGCCAGCTCCCATGTCAGAGGATGAAGAGAGCACATCCAGTTAGTCACAGTCAGAGAAACAGGACTACACTGGAAAACAGGCCAAGCTCCAACATCTAGAAACAAAGGTGTTGATGGCAGCAGCACAGCTGATATTTCTCTCCAGGATGGAGTCACAGCCAAACAGGAACAGACCAGATGAAGCTACTATGAGAAAAAGCAGAGAGCAGAACGTTAGAGATTGAACTAATAGATTCTGCAGAGTGGGAGAATAGAGATAGAATGAAGCAGAATGATGAAAAAGGGGTCCCTATGTCCTCCAGCAGTCTAAGCCTATAGCAGCAGAACTATAGAGATAGCTCAGGATAACCTGAGCCACTCTAACTAGAAGCTTTATCAAAAAGGAAAGTTTTAAGCCTAGCCTTAAAAGTAGACAGGGTGTCTGCCTCACGGACTAAAACTGGTAGTTGGTTCCACAGGAGAGGAGCCTGATAACTAAAAGATAATATATCGGGAAGCTGGTTGTTTTATATAGACTATAGAATGAAAGGCCTTTTAGGCGTGTAAAAAAAGCTTTTTTCTCAAACTTATATTTAAGGTGGCCTGATTTCAGAGCACTGTGAAAATAAAGCTAAACTCTTTCTTTATGAGCAGAGATGCTGATTCTGATTGGTCAAATCAAAACACCTAAATCTGACAAATCAACAGTACAGATCTACTAATCCATGTTGTCTGCTGATCATTTCCACAGGTCTAAAAGAAAAACAGTTTTTTTATCATGACATTTTTTAATGTTTTATATTTTGACAAATAATGTGACATGGCTTTGCAATGAAATAAAAAAAAAACAGTTTAAATAAAGAGAAATGGGAAAACCCATCAAACATGCAGCCGTAAAAAAAAGAAAAAAATGACAGATGGCACTTTAAGTTGGACATTATATTCTCTGTTTACATACAAATAACTGTTTAAATAAAGCCTTGTTGCTATAACAACAATGCTAACATGAATAATTGAATTAAAAAGCACATTATGATCATTTAGGTTACAAAAAAGGATAAAGAAACAGGCACATTAACACTTCTTCATTTTAAAGGTTTTAACCAAACACCCCCATTAAGACATCTCAGCCATTCGATCCGGGTCTTCTGGGTTATCATACAAACGGCCATGAACCGTCACACAACACAAACAATTACTGAACCAACTGGAACTAACGCTGAAACCTTTTATTCAGGCGGTCCCGCGGTTTCACCACAGAACAGGTTTCCTGAAGATGCTTTTTATTTATCAAGGTCAAAAATCCACAGATAGACGTCATCAGCAGACCGTCTAAATGCTCACTGATGGTGGAGAACAGGAGTCTGTCTGGAGCCTGTACTGTGGCTCTTTATGGTGGTTTAACAATAAAATACCAAACTTAAAAGCTTTGATGTTTTAAACAAAAATTGATTTGAATTTTCACAACAAAATGACCTAAATAAAAGAGAAATAAGGTTTTAAATCTACATTTCTTGTTAGTAAGCTGGAAACTGTTATATGCAGAGTGAAAGAAGCAACTTCAAGTGTTGGGAAAGTTTTTAACAAAACAATCAAGTGATTAAGGTTGAATAAAACTGTAACTAACCAACGTTTCCCTCAACGTTTCAGGGCAGAAACGTAACAGAAAGCAGGTTCAAAGGTGAGCTTGGGGGCTGTGGATATATATAGCAGCTATACTTCAGGCAGGGAAAAAATTGCTTACATCCCATAATAATACTTTATCGAAATTAAATTAATATAAGGAAAAAAAGCTCCATTAACATGTCCATTTAAAACAAACAATTAAACATTTTATAACTTGTTCTTTAGCTCAGAACAAACACTTCCTTCCCGCTCCAATAGCACATTTTACCCCCCACCATCCCCCGCTCCTTCAAAGGAAACATTTCCTTGTACGTCACTTATAACATCCTTCGGAAGTAGCCCTTAATTTCTTTTAAAATCATTTTTAAGAAGAGAAAAATGGAACTCATTGCGCCTCTCTTTAGTTTTTTTTCTGATAAGGGTTCGCACTATAATTTTACTTATATGTGGATGTAGCATTAGCAACATTAGCAGTTAGCCATGGTTCATTTACCGTAATCACTATCCGATTCGGTAGCACCATCCGTACCATCAGGTCACATCCAGGTGCCCTTTGAATTTACTTTGTAAAAAATACCTAAATTTCCCTCCAAAAAAATAATAAGCGTCCTAAACTATAACGTGTTAAAGGTTAATAATGCATTTCAGGTAAAAATAAAATAATTTTTTCTGATTTATAACCGGTCTGTGCTCAATCTGTGTTGGAAATGGGATCCTACGCTACTTCTTGAAGCTAACTTTTTTAGCTTTGGATTTAAACATAAATGTAGTCTTTTTGAGTTTTATGTTACATTATGGTATATAGTGCGTAATCTAAAGAAAGAAACAACTAAAATGCAGATAAACTTGGTTTAATCATATTTTGCCGGTGTTAGGTTTATTCAATGATGTTTATAAAATTAATGTCTGTGTGTGCTTATGAAACATTTGTGCAAGGGGATGCTCCACTCCTGTCTGTCAGGAGACCATCCTGCCTCGTTATTCTGATGGAGCGTTCTGTCTTCAGGAACTGATCAGTTGTTCTGTCAGAACAATACTCTGTTTGTAACCATGTGTCATGTTCTATTAATAAAACGCTCTGCGGAGGAGGTCCAGTGGGAGAGTGTGTTTGAGTCTGGGGTTCAACTGTCTCTCCTTCTGCAGAAATTGTATCCATTACTGTGTATTTCAGTTCTTCTTTTGCAAACCTACATTTATGAACCCAACAGCCGGACTGCTCTGAGGATGTCCCATGATGACATCAGACAAGCCGTTAAATGTCGAAAATGTAAAAAACATTAAAGTGTCTCAGAAAAGTAATAAAATGTTTTAACAATGTGTACCAGCATATTTTGGGGATTTAAGGGTATAAATACATACTTTTAGTACCATAATAACATTATTTTTGGTGACCTTGAAGAATATCTGCTTGCACATGCAGAAATGCGCTGATGGTACGGATCGTGGTTCCTGTACGGATCGGGTAGTGACAACCATGGCTTCCTGCGACTACCTGCAGGTGAGACCCTGACAGGTGGAATAGAGACGGGGGTGCAGATGGACAGGCGGGCTAATGTTAGCATCAAAAGCAGGAGGACCAAAGCCATTCTCTGCAGAGAGCGCCCTCCTGTGGGATTTTATGGTTTAAACTAAGAGACACTTTGACATTCTATGGCAGTTTGTATCAACAGCCCAACAAAAACACACACATTTCAAATAGTAAGATTTCCACATAACGACTCCTCAACCTGAATGTAAAAGCACATAATCATACAAAATCATCAAGTTACGGGTTTTAGTGTTATAATGGTAAAAAATTCCTCAACTTGAGCTGGATCCACGTTTAGAGCTGGATTACCAATTTAAACTGATGATTTCAGGGATTAAAGCAGCAGTAGTCCCCCAGCCCATCAGCTGAGGGTCATTAGGATAGTAGGGGGGCCCAACCTGCTCTCCTTTTTTGACGTACTGCAAGAAACATTTTAAAGCAGCACTACCTTTTAGCCTCTAACTAAATGAACCAGTCTGTGTTCTGGTTCTGGTATCAGACCAGTCTGGACCAGGAGATCTAGAATCCTGGAGTTCCTGGTAAAGATGATGAAACATTCCCTTGCTGGATGGAATCTTCCATCAGGGAACCAGAAACACGTCTGATGAGCTAACAGCGGTTAGCTTAGTTAGCTCTGGGTCATGTGACCCATTCAGGGACGGATTGACCCTCTGAGGTCACAGAGGAGAGATTTCAAGAAGAACAGGAGCATCGCTATGCAGCAAGAGATGAATATTAAACCAGAAAATACATTTAATATCTAAGATTAAGCTAACACTGGGCTCAAAAGTTAAAAAACTACTTAATCCGTTTTCAAGAAAAGTGTATTAAGACTGAAACAATTTATCGTGATTAATCGATTATTGGAATAATTGTCTACTAATTTAATAATCGATTAATTCAACTGGAGGCAATTATATCAAAATTGTAATAAAAAATTATTATTATTATTATATATATATATATATATATATATATATATATATATATATATATATATATATATAAACATTTTGCATTTAAGATAAAACTTTTCCGTCTGTCAATCTGCTCTATCCAGAACCCCTCAAAGTGAAATTATTTTATTTTCACAGGGTTTAATTATCTGAATTTGGCTATCCCATTATTAATCGATTAGTAAAAAAAAAAGAAAGAAAAATCAACAGAATAATCGATTAACAAAAGAGTAATTAGTTGCAGCCCCTGTTTAAATGTAACTAAAGTGAGTAAAAAACAGTCAAACTAAAGGTTAAATATTTTTCCCAGACATAGAAAAAGTTAAAGATTAAAGGAACCATCTTCACCAACAGATGAAGTTTATCAAAGCATTTCTAGAGTTGATTATTTCTGACCTTTCAGATTAGCATAGCTAAGAGGACCTTTCTCAATCAGAGTCACTGATCTCAGATCTGAATTCATAGCCCAAATCAGAAAAGATAATCACCATGGATACAGAAAATCTTCCAGAAAGGCAGATTTCCACCACGTTCATGTAAATGAGATGCAGCATCTCTGAACTGCTGTAGGTACCAGGTCTGCTCGAGCTGTGCTTCATGCCAATGACGTTACGCTACGTTCGGAGCGCACGCAGCAGAAGCAGCACAAACGCGCATGCTGCTTCATTTTTGATGCTTTTACAAGTTTAGTTCTAAAGTGCGGCTGAAGCATCTTTGCTGCTCTAGCTGCACGGTGGGAAAAGTGGGTGTGGCCCGCTCGCCTCTTGGGGATTTTCCCTTCTGTTGGTGGCGGCTGGAAGTAGATGTTAGCATTTTTCATGTACGTAATCCAAACTGCAGGCACCAGAATAATAAAATCGAACACATTCTGCGAACAGGTTTCTACATGCTAAGTTAATTTAGGCGTTAAACTGTTTCAGAGGAGTGATCATAGCGCTCTGCAACAGCAGTGCTGTGTCTGACTCCCTGCCAGCTCCCAGATCAGCTGCTCTGATTGGTTGATGAGGCGCATCAAGCAGCTGAAGTTAAATTTTTCCAACTGCAGCAGCTGCTGAAGCGCGTCACAAACCTCAGATGCTCAGAAGCTTGTGAAGTTACCACATGACGTGAAACACTGTTGTTGCCCAGGCAACGATGGTAATGCAGCGTCCATGTGCTGAGTTGAGGGCATCTGTAGCGTTAGCGGGTTTAATTATCGATTCATTTTTACCAAATTGATAAAGCGGAAAAAAAATGTTTCTGGTGAACAAAGTAACTGTTAGACCATATTATAAAGACCTGGGTAGCGCTGTGGCTAGCTGTGCTCGGTAGCTAAAAGGTTAGCCTCTTTTAGCTCGACAGTTAGCCATATTAAGCTACACTACTTTCTCAAATGGTTGTCAACTACAGCTGTTCATTTTCTACAAGTAGAATAACCGTTTTCTTTTTTATCTAAAATCTCAGTCATTTCTAGATGTTCCATTTGTTCTCCTCTGCCCTCAGATCTTAATAAAAAAGTATGAGAAGAAGCTCTGAGACTTTTTGTGTCACCTTGTTAAATAGCAGAGCTCAGTCCACTTTCCTTCAACACTCAGTATGATTGTTTTCCACTTTCGGCTACAGATCGCCAGTGAAATGTAAAATAACAGCAAATATGGGTAATAATATGTTGAGACTTCAAAAAAGATCAGATTCTTTAAGAGATGGGTGCAATACAGTTTGTCTGAGTGGGGTTGCCATATGATGACATCATAAGAAAGGGTCGGGGTCCCGAGCAGATCTGGTACCTACAGCGGATCTGGAGAACAGGTTGGAAACTCATTGGACTAGATGAGCTCTACTTCATTATTATCCAACTGGCAGAAGATCCCATAAACGGGTCCCCTCCTTCTGTCCTAAAACACATTTAAATAAAATAAACGTACAATAATTTCATCTGTTCAAGTTTGGGAATGTTTCTTCTGGTTTGTGATCCGTGAATCAAACATTCTGTTCTCCTGCTCCTCCTTGTTAGGACCCCGCCTCCTGTTCCTGTCCCAGCGCCTCCAGGAGGAGCCCCATGGGTGTCCTCTTCAGACCGATGCTCTCCAGTTTGTTCTCCAGCTTGTTCTTCAGGTTACGGAGCCTCATGGATGCGTGGACGAGCACCACTGAGAACAGATACAGGAATTACCTCCCCTAAACAAGCATTTTACAATTAAGTCCATTTTCTTCTTTTAATAAACCACTTATTTAATAGAACATTTTACACTACACTCTTCAAATACAGTGAATTTCTGTTTTTATATGATGTTTTACACAAATTTACCCATATAAAATTACATCAGAGCAAATAAAAAGGACATATTAATATAAGGTGACCAGATTTCTGAAATCTAATCTGGGCGATATTTCCAGCTCACAGATTAAAAGAGAGACATATCATCAGAATTAAACCAGGAAAGGAGGAGATTGATGTTTTCATCCATTTTTACGTATTTATTCATATTTAAACAACAAAAATCAAGTGTAAAATCAAGCATTGTGCCGCTCCAATTTCCTAAAATGGATTAAATTAAACAATCAATCGATAGTGTTTATTAGAGCCATCTGGTCATTCAGTCTTCTTCTCTCTCCTCTTTTCTTTCTAGCTGACTTCTATGGAGAGCCATTTTAGCCAAAATTAAATAAATAAATAAATAAATAAATGGGTGAAATAAATAGAAAATGAGTAAAATAAATAAAATTATGAAGAAAATGAGTGAAATAAATAAACAATTTGTTAAATAAATAATTTAGCTTTTTCATTAAACCAATTTTTAATTTATTTTTTTTTTTTTCATATAATCAATTTCCCAATTTCTCTTTTTCATTTATCTATTTGTCATTTATCCCTTTATCCATTTACCCATTTTTCATTAATCTAATTTTAATTTAACCACTTTTCAATTTCCCTTTTTCATTAAGCCAATTTATTTATTTATTTATTTTTCAGATTATCTATTTCTCAATTTCTGTTTTATCTATTTTTCATTTGTCCATTTTCATTTATCCCTTTATTTATTTACCCATTTTTCATTAATCTATTTTTTAATTTAACCATTTTTCAATTTCCTTTTTCCATTAACCCGATTTCCTATTTCCCAGTTTCATTAATCAATTTCTCATATATCCCTTTTTTTACTTACCCATTTTCTTTTATCTATTTTTCATTTACCCATTTTTCATTAATCTCTTTATCTATTTACCCATTTTTCATACCGATACAGAACGTGCTGCACCCTCTGTGTTCGCCTTTTCTAGACTGCTTTTCGGAGGGAAAGTCCACAGTATCGGTTCTTCTTAGGGAAGCCGCCGATCGAATAGATGAACTAGAACGCTGTAAGTTTAATATCCGACGTGTTTTATGGTCCTTTGAGTTTTGTTTAACTTTTACTTTTGAAAAAACAGCTTCAACTTCGACTGCTACTGAACTGAGCGCTGCAGTTGCATCTAACCAACCAATAGGCTGCCATTGTAGCCTGAAGACACCGCCCCTCATTATCATATTAAAGCAGAAGCGAAGAGGGGAAAATAGAATGTGATAAATTAAAAAATAAGGAAATACTTAATGAATAAGGGAAATTGGAAAATGGGAAAATTAAATTTTTTTCAAACAAATGGTAAATGAAAAATAGATAAAAGAAACATTGGTAAATAAAAAAGGGATTTATGAGAAATTGATTAATGAAACTGGGAAATAGGAAATCGGGTTAATGGAAAAAGGAAATTGAAAAATTGTTAAATAAAAAAATAGATTAATGAAAAATTGGTAAATAAATAAAGGGATAAATGAAAAATGGACAAATGAAAAATAGATAAAACAGAAATTGAGAAATAGATAATCTGAAAAATAAAAAAATAAAAAAATTGGCTTAATGAAAAAGGGAAATTGAAAAGTGGTTAAATGAAAATTAGATGAATGAAAAATGGGTAAATGGATAAAGGGATAAATGAAAAATAATGAAAAAGAGAAATTGGGAAATTGATAATATGAAAAATAAATAAATTAAAAATTGGTTTAATGAAAGAGCTAAATTATTTATTTAACAAATTTTTTATTTTTTTCACTAATTTTCTTCATTTTTTGATTTATTTTACTCATTTTTTATTTATTTCACCCATTTATTTATTTAATTTTGGCTAAAATGGCTCTCCATAGACTTCTGCCTGATCTGTTTTACTATTTTGCCTGATCTGTTTTACTATTTTAAGTACATTTTTCTTCCTTCTCTTCAACTGTTCTTTCCATCAGTGTTCCTATTTTCCTTCACTCTCATTCAATCTTCTATCAGTCTTCTAATCTTCTTCCTCTCCTCTCATATCAATCTTACACTAATCAGACATAATACAGTCAAATTCCTGTAACGACAGATCGCCAACTACAAATTAGATCATTCCCAATATTCCCATTTATTTTAATTATTGGATGCAAACTATTGGTACTTCAACATACCAGGAAACAGATTTCTTATCTCGATCAAATCCAGTTTGGAGGTAGAGAACAAACCCATTTTGTATGATCTTAATTATTCCCTTTAAAAAGACCCACGACAAAAAGAAATGTTTGGGCAGAAACATATGAAATTAAGCATTAATTTCTGCATGTTTGGCTCCTATGAATTTAATAATAATAATGTTGCGCATGCTCTTCTTGAGCTCCGAGGAATTCAGAAGCAGCTGCCAATCAGCTAACAGCTGTTTCTGCTCATAACATGCTTAAGTCCTCTTTCTACCGTAATGACAGTCTATAAGCAACATTTCCTCCTCATTTTTAGAACGGTAAAATCAGGGACAGCTTTAGCCCGGGACAGATGGTCCCAAACGGGGACTGGTCCCGGAAATCGGGGCCGTCCGTAATACAGATATATCGGATATGGCCTTCACACAGTCATTAGGAAGACTGCGTGCGGCACGGTTCTCCAGCCAGCAGACAGTCACCAACACCCTCCACTGGGGGGCGAAGCCACAAACGGGGACGCTAAAGAAGCTGCATCAAAGTACCGTATTTTCCGTACTATAGAGGCGCCTTACTATAAGCCACGCCCACAACATTTTTCTTTTTTTTAACTGGAAGTGTACAATAAATAAGCGCACCAGGGTATAAGACGCTGAGATCTACTAAACTGTTCCCACTAAAACCTGTAGGGGGAGCTCTACATAAAGCCCCTGGTGTAGGGACGAAGAAGAATGCTAGCTCCTGTTAGCTTGTTAGCTCGCAGCAGTAAGAGCTTCTACTGAAAGATGGAGCTTCATCAGCTCTTTATTTCAGAGCTCAGTCTCTTCAGCTTTAATGCAGCAAATAAATGTCAAAATGTGTGAAATCTGGAGATCCCATCCAGATCCCATACAGGAAGAAAGCTAAAAACACACAAATGACAGATATATTTGAACAATTATTTAACTGAATTCACAAACTTTGTTTTAGCAGGGAACAAAACAAATCAGTTTTAAAGCCCCAACATAACCAGTGCTAAGTCTTTTTTGCAGCTATTTTTCTTTGTATGGTTTTCTTAGTATGTTTGATTTGGTGATAAGTGGAGGCGTTGCAGAGACAAGGGTGGAACTAAACTGAGAAATACCGGCTGTTTCTCGGTAACTCCATTTTGACGCTTTGTGTTTCGTGCTTCGCATGTGCGACTCCACTGCCTTAATTCCCATCGTTCTGAGCTTGAATGACTTCTTGCACTAAATCCACTGAGCCTCATGTATGTTCCCTGGTTTTAGCCATGGAGAAAAACTCTTGGCTGGAGACAATTTATGTTACATTTACACTTGCTCATATTTTCCAGACAAAAAGTTAATGGTGCATCTCCCAAATGTCCCGGCCGCAACAACGCTTTATTGGTTCCGCTATCGGAACGGAACCGACAATGGTGAGCCATTATTTTTTTTTTTTATAAAAACACGTTTTATTTAGATTACAAAAATAAATCGTAATAAAAATAATCCTATTTATGATGTTTTAAAAATTAAGACCTACGAAAGACTGATTTAAGACATTTTTATACCAATTAAGGCCTTAGTTTTATTTTGAAGAATTCAATGCCTTTTAAGACTTTTTAAGGACCTGCGGGAACCCTGTTATTTCTTTTTCAACTCTGACTTCCCCCTCTGGAGGTTAGCAAAAATCCACAGAAAAAACGCACCTTCTTATAATGTGCATGGTTTAAAGCGTGGGAAAAAAGTAGCAGCTTATACAGGTGCTGGTCATAAAATTAGAATATCATGAAAAAGTAGATTGATTTCAGTAATTCCATTTAAAAAGTGAAACTTGTATATTATATTCATACATTACATACAAACTCATATATTTCAGATGTTTATTTTGTTTAATTTTGATGATTACAAATGACAACAAATGAAAATCTCAAATTCATCATATCAGAAAATTAGAATATTGTGAAAAGGTTCAAAATTGATGGCCCCTGGTGCCACACTCTAATCAGCTAATTAACTCAAACCACCTGCAAAAGCCTTTAAATGGTCTTTCAGTCTAGTTCTATAGGCTACACAATCATGGGGAAGACTGCTGACTTGACAGTTGTCCAAAAGACGACCATCGACACCTTGCACAAGGAGGGCAAGACACAAAAGGTCATCGCTAAAGAGGCTGGCTGTTCACAGAGCTCAGTGTCCAAGCACATTAATAGAGAGGCGAAGGGAAGGAAAAGATGTGGTCGAAAAAAGTGTACAAGCAAGAGAGATAACCGCACCCTGGAGAGGATTGTGAAACAAAACCCCTTCAAAAATGTGGGGGAGATTCACAAAGAGTGGACTGCAGCTGGAGTGAGTGCTTCAAGAACCACCACACACAGACGTATGAAAGACATGGGTTTCTGCTGTCGCATTCCTTGTGTCAAGCCACTCTTGAACCACAGACAGCGTCAGAAGCGTCTTGCCTGGGCTAAAGAGAAACAGGACTGGACTGCTGGTGAGTGGTCCAAAGTCATGTTCTCTGATGAAAGTAAATTTTGCATTTCCTTTGGAAATCAAGGTCCCAGAGTCTGGAGGAAAAGAAGAGAGGCACTTCATCCACGTTGCTTGAAGTCCAGTGTAAAGTTTCCACAGTCAGTGATGGTTTGGGGTGCCATGTCATCTGCTGGTGTTGGTCCATTGTGTTTTCTGAGGTCCAGGGTCAACGCAGCCACATACCAGGAAGTTTTAGAGCACTTCATGCTTCCTGCAGCTGACCAACTTTTTGGAGATGTAGATTTCATTTTCCAACAGGACTTGGCACCTGCACACAGTGCCAAAGCTACCAGTACCTGGTTGAAGGACCATGGTATCCCTGTTCTTAATTGGCCAGCAAACTCTCCTGACCTTAACCCCATAGAAAATCTATGGGGTATTGTGAAGAAGAAGATGCAATACACCAGACCCAACAATTCAGAAGAGCTAAAAGCCACTATTAGAGCAACCTGGGCTATCATAACACCTGAGCAGTGCCACAGACTGATCGACTCCATGCCACGCCGCATTGCTGCAGTAATACAGGCCAAAGGAGGCCCAACTAAATACTGAGTGCTGTACATGCTCATACTTTTCATGTTCATACTTTTCAGTTGGCCAACATTTCTATAAATCCTTTGTTTTTATTGGTCTTCAGTAATATTCTAATTTTCTGATATGATGAATTTGGGATTTTCATTTGTTGTCATTTGTAATCATCAAAATTAAACAAAATAAACATCTGAAATATATGAGTTTGTATGTAATGTATGAATATAATATACAAGTTTCACTTTTTAAATGGAATTACTGAAATCAATCTACTTTTTCATGATATTCTAATTTTATGACCAGCACCTGTAGTCCGGAAAATACGGTAATGTGAAGGAAAGTCGGGTGAAAGGAAAACCTCCGGAAGAAACAGAACATAAAGCTCACCGCAGCAAAGCCTATAAAGAGTCAGAGGTTAGAGACGGAGTCTGAAAGTTCCTCCTCCTTCTGAGAGTCACACATCTTTAACACACAGTGGGAATAAAGAGCATAGTTACCAAAGGAACATTCTGAAATAAAAAAAATATTTTAAAATTAAAAAAAATTCAAACTGGAAAAAAAAGGTCCCTTCCCTGTGGAGGGGCGGGACTTAAATTATTAAGGTGTGGATTGATGACTGACTGACAGTTTTTGGGGCCTGGGCGGAAAATGTTGCATTCGGGAACCGTAGGAAATTGAAATGTCTTTTAAACATCACAGATTTTCTATGTTTTTGTACCTGGTTTCATAAATATCATGCTCATGTCATCCCATTATTTTTTTTAAACAAACACTATGGGCTAAATTCATCTCCAGTCCAAATGAAGAGCTCTGCTTCAGGACTGGAACAAAAACAGAATTGTAAAAAAACTTTAAGCAATTTAAATAAAAAACATGTATTTTTGTTTCTAAATTTCTGGGTCTTAGTCTTCATCCTATGGGAGATGAAAGGCAGAGTGTTTGCTCTTACTCAGCACTGGGAAGGCTATCCCAAACAGGAACACGGCCACTCCTCCCAGCAGTGACACGAAGACGTAACTGGCCAAGAGAATGGCGAGCACGGTGACTAACGGGTGGTTTCTACGGAAACGGCGGACGGGAGCTTTGTTCTCTGCGGCCCAGACGAAGCCCAGGAAGAGCACGGTGACGACCGTCATCCCGACAAACAGCTGGAGGGGCTGGAAATACCTGAAACATAAATGGAGGTTAAGGTGACTGCGTTCATGGGGCAGAGGAAACTTCAGTCTCACCGTCCCGCGTTAAGGAAGCAGCAATCAGAAGCAGAGCTGTAAAAGGACCTGAGCTCATCTGATGATCTGTTTGTTCCTTTTGGGCATTCATCCCTCAGCTGAGAGGAACATGGCACCTAGAAGCAGCAGGCCTCTGGAGGCAGTGTGCTACTGGGAAACCGCTGCTTCAGCCATGCATCCTTATAAAGGTTATTTTAACATGAAACGTCTAATAAAATCTACCTAACCATTTGAGATGGTACAGGATCCTGACCCAGGGAGTAACCAGGGAGCAGCACCATTTACAACTAGAGACCAGTGCATCAATCAAATGTATCTTATTTCCTCAAATTTAGCGGAATATAAACTGCCATCATGTTTTCTTATTTTTCAGTTTGCATTTTTTGACATTCAGGGTTCCAACACTTTGGTTAACATCACATTCAATGACCTTTTAAGAAATTTCAGCACCAATTTCATCAAAATAAAAGAGCTGCTTTTCCTAGCACTAGGGCTGAGACAATTAATCGGATTTATTGATTAATAGATTATTGAAATAATCGTCAACTAATTTAGTGGTTGATTCATCGTTAACTGGAGTATAGAGACTCTAAAACATGCCTCTAGCTGGCAGAGCAACCCACTTAGAGCAGGAAACATTTTTATATTTTGCATTTAAGATAAACTTTTTCATCTGTCAATCATCTCTACTCAGATATCCTCAAATGGAAAAGTTTCAGTTTTACCTGGTTTGATTTTGCAAAAAGTTTTCTTTAAGGAATATTTGGCTATAATAGTCAATCTGCAAAACCGTTAGTTGCAGCCCTAGCTAGCACTAAATATTTCCACAATAAAAGGATTTAAGAAAGTGTAAATTAAAGGAAAAAAAAAAAAAAAAAAACTGAAGTTCTAAGATGGATCAGTTGATGGATTTAAATCGATAAAACACTTTTTTCTTCTTCTTTTTTTTTAGCTAACATAGAATCAATAACATTCCCAGCAGTTATTTATATGGCTAATGTTTATAGCTGTATTTATATTAATATTCAAAGCCTACAAAATATATATACAAAAAATATGGATAAGTCTAACAGAGGTGTAAAGTAATAAAATACAAATACTTTGAAAAAACAGTAACAACTTGAAGGTATTTTTTTTTTTTTTACGTTCTCTTCTTGATCTCTCCACCGTCGTAGTTCACAGCAGAGGAAGCTCTGATCAAAACCCAATTACTGAACCGCTAACCAAACACAGGGTGGTGATATATGGGGTCATTAAACTATGGATCCTGAAATCCAGACATCCCAAGGTCCAAAAACTCATTTCAGGAAGATGCTTCTCATTCCTAAGTTACAGTATAAATGTATATAGACCTCATAAGAAATAGAATTTTTATTGAACTTAATTGAAAAGAAATTTCACTTCATGCAGCTCTCTTAAAATATTTGAATCTCTTGCATTTATTTCACGCTTTTCTGTGCTCCAGTGAAAACATGCTGCCCCCTCCTGGCCCCCCTGGTCAAAAGTCAAAAAGCCTTTATTGTCATTATATTCTGTGACAAATACAATGAGATTTGGGACTTCCATAACAGCTACCGTGAAATAAAAATAAAATAAAATATATAAAAAATATATAGATATATTAAAAGGAAAGGAAATGTAAACAGTTACAAAAAAAATATATAAATATATTAAAAGGAAATGTAAACAGTGAAAAGGAAATGTAAACAGTGAAAAGGAAATGTAAAACAGTACTGGCACAGATTGTGGGGGGGGGGATAGTGCAAAACAGGTGTAAAGTGACCGACAGTGCAGGTCGGAGTTGAGGGGGGGCAATGGCTTGGGGAATAATGCAAACCAGGTGAAAAGTGTCCGTCAGTGCAACTGTTCTTGAGTCTGTTTGTCCTGATCCTCATTTGCCTGTAGCGCCTTCCAGAGGGCAACAGGTCAAACAGGGTGGAGCCAGGGTGGGAGCTGTCCTTGGAGATGGCCCTGGCTCTGCTGAGGCACTGGGTGGAGTAAATGTCTGCCAGGGAGGGGAGAGGGCGACCGATAATCCTCTGCGTCAGGTACATTTGGTCTAGATCAGCCACTGTTCCTCCCCTTCACTAGACGGGGACATACTTTAGTATATTCTGCTGTAAAATTAGTCCTATATTTTGGTTTTTTACTCGAGGATTGAACCTCTGCCTTTTCCCAGGATGCACAGCTTTGAGTGGTAACTAGGTGACTGCTAGGGGTGTAAATCACACCCATTATGGCAATTCGATTCAGGATCGATTTTCTGACCCAACTGTTCGATTATATTTGATACTCAAGAATACACCACGATACGATTAATTGGTTCTATTTTTTATTTTTTTTACACCTTACAGGCAACACAATGTTTTAAATTTGAAATAAATCAATGAAAGTTGTAATATTGTTATGCAGAAAATAACCGAAGTAGAAAAGTCCACAGACGCTCCGCTGCTCCTCTCCCAGATTGTAGCTGACAGCAAACAGTGCCACAGACAGGAGGCCGGCTTGTTTTGTTTTTATGACCGAAATTGCGCAAAACAACTCGTGAAGTTGGACCCGCTAGAAGAGCGAGGTGCGTGAGAACGCTGGGACCCTTTTTCCACCTGGATCTCCGCTCTTTTTGGCCCTCATGTCCATCCGTCGTCAGACTAAACTCGCCCCCACTTCCTCTCCGCCTCGGCCGTATCTAGACCCACAGCGTGTAGCACAGACCACGCTTCAATACTGAGCATAATTTAAAAATGTCTGTGTCAAGCTTAGTGCAACACACTGCTGCAGGAGTATAACCAGGAAGCGCGGTAGGAGGGCAAAATAGGTTTAGCGCCACCGCAGCACGGGAGGGAGAATTACGCCCAGGAGCAAATGGATAAAAATAGACCGGAGGAAAAAAAAAAAAAAAAACATGAATCGATTCTCTTGCGGACGTGTCGATGCATCGGATCGTCGGCTGTTGGATCGATGTATCGATACAAAACGATTATTATTTACACCCCTAGTGACTGCCAGAGAGTAACCAGAGAAACTTATCGGACTGATCCAATCAGCTCTCTGATCAACCAGTCGCCTGGAACGCTGGTTGATCAGAACATCGCTTTGGACAGATACACTGCACAGGTTTCACCAGCAACCTCCCCCCCCCACCCCGCTCTCTCTTGCTGTCTGCGCGATCATAGTAGTTATTATGAATTAGTGTACTGCCTGCTCGCTCTCACTGGCGTTTAAAAACACCACCTCCCATAGTTTAAAATCCAGGATAATTTATACCACTCCCCGGCATCTGTGAACAACTATCTATATCAGGGAGACTCCCGGAACTTCCGGGAAACTTGGAATGTCTGGAAATCATCCAGGTGAGTTCGATTTCAGCGCATGAATCCTCCGAGGACCCGGTCTACCTGGACTGGGTTCTTGGATGTCTTTGAAAATAAGGAGGCAGGAAGAATTTGGCTATGGACTCAAACAGATCCAGCCTTCTCAGGCTTTCACTGCCCATACACTCTGTCGCCTAGCAACAGTGACAGTTTACACACAAAGCAGGCAAAGAATAATAACATTTCTGAGGAGCTTCAGCAGCAGTACCGTCGTCTCAGATATCAGATTATCGTCCCCACCCTGCAGAGGTGTTGGAACCTGAGCTTAAATGTCAGCCAAACCTATTTACACAGGGACAGATAAAACCTTTAGATAAACCAAACATTACCGCCACATATCTGACTCTAAAACCATTAAAACTATTATTTTCATTCATTTCAGACAAACTATTCACAGACTGGATTATATTAAACTGAATTTCTGACCACAGTAAGTGGCGGACTAGTGGTTGGGGCATTGCACATAGAATCCTGAAGTTCTGAGTTCGAGCCCCACTCCCACAGACTGCCACTCTGGGTCCATGAGCAAGACCCTTAACCCCACACTGCTCCCACAGTGGCAGCCCACTGCTGGGTGAAATGCAGAGATTTCAATTTGTTGCTCTGTACTTGTAACAGTGTAATAATAAAAAAAGCTGGAATATTCACCACAGTTTGGTGCCATTTCCCTTTTCCTCTGAGCACGGAGCAGCCTGCTGGCTTGGCCTCGCAATGAATCATGGGATACCCAAGGCTACAGAGGATACCCGTCCTTCAAAACATGGAGTCGTTGGCTGCGTAACGAGGAGTCTTCCAATCTGAAAAGGTGCCGCGCTATGAGGTAATTGAAGATCATGGGGGCTCCTCTTCCCTCCATTAAAGACATTTCATCCCAGAGCCGCGTGTCCAGAGCCCGTGACATCATCAATGACCCCTCACCCCCCCACCATGGACTGTTCTCCCTGCTGCCCTCTGGGAAGAGGCTTCACAGCATTCAATGCAGGACCAGCAGGTTCTGCAGCAGCTTCTTCCCAACCGCCATCACACTGATGAATGATTGCTCCATATATGTTAATGCTCTGAACTTTTATATCAATGCATTTTTTCACCATGTTTTTTTTACATTTGATCACTGCTCCACTTTATGGAACGGAAATGTCATGAAAGGCGTGCAAACCGAATTTCGTTTTCAAAATGACAATAGATGTCGTCCTAATCGGCCTACGAATCTGGCCTTCAGAGGACGCAGCTGCTGAATTCGAAATCAGCCCCTGAATCAACATGATTTGCAATTCACCCAGTCGCCCAGAAGAGGCGCTGTTACGCACACATCGACCCTCTGGACAGGAAACACCAGAACACAGAGCTGAACGGTTAGAAAAACACTGGAAACTGAAATCCCAGATAAAGATGAAGACGGCTCCTTTTTAGAGTTTCAAGGTCTTACAATTGCCTTTTTTTTAAATTCACAAACTTTCAATGATTTCAAGGACCCTTTGGAACCCTGGATATTAAATCCTGTCACTTTCACAGTGTGAATTAGAAGCGTAGCTCAAATGGTGGCGCAGTTTGTAGAGAGAAGGTCCAAAAGTATTAGGTAGTTTTCTTGGTATTAAAGTTTGATGCATTTTACAGAGGCGGTTCTAGATAGGGGCCAGCAGGGGGTGGTGGCCCTCTAGAACTGCTCACTGTTATGGCCCCTCTACTAAAGACCTATGGCTAATACATTCCTTATCATTATATACATTGGCACAAAAACTCAGTTCAGGTATAAATAACACCTGGTATTTCTTTTGTAGAACATAAAAACACGAGAGGGATGCTGAAGATCTGCTATTTTAGGTTTTCCACATAAAAATAGTTCTATTTAATTGACTTCTACTTCTAGAAATAGGATAAACATAGGTACTCTATGTTTCTAGATTTCCACATGGTCCATAAGTAAATTAGTATAAAATTTACCAAACATATAATTCCTGCTCTAAATTGGTCGCTCTGTCAGCTAAAGGCACATTTTAGTGGCCCTATACTCCAGTTAACGACAAATCAATTACTAAATTAGTTGATGATTATTTAAATAATCAATAATTAATTTAGTAATTGATTAATTATTTTGCATTTTGCATTATTATTTTGCATGATACAGAGAGAGCATATTAGATAAAAAAAGAGTGGGATTTACCTCTGTTTACTTGTGCACAATTCTATATCTTTAAAAGAAAACACAGGATTAATCCACATATAACAGACATATTTAGACTATATTTGGTTAAATAAGCACGTATTTACAGCTGTCTTAGTTGTTGGTTAGTTTAAATGCAAACCTTTCAAAGTGGAAAACAGTCCTAATTGCACATTAATCAGAGCCAGTTATGTTTTAAACATTGATGAACAGCATCTAGTGAGTGTAGTGCTTATATGATTTATATTAATGTAGAAGAAATGCTGCTGTTCTCTTTAAACAAAATGTGTCCTGATGCTCATATTAAGCATAAGAAAAGAGCATACATATTTTTACAAATTACCAATGACATCAGACCCATGAAACTGGAGACCCATAGTGTCCCTAACAAAGCTGGAATCAAACCTACGCCCTTGTTGAGAATGGCTTAGTCTCCATTCAAACCCAGGTTTAAAGCCTAAAGCCCACTGCCAACATTAAGACAGAAAAAAGAATAACAAACGATCAGTTCAGGTGTTTTATAAAATATGGGAATCAGGAACTGTCTGTATACCGAACTGAACGATTGTTGTTCTCTACTTCAAAAAAAAAACCTTTAGATTTTTTTTATTATCATTTCTTATAATTAAAAATGTCTCTCTGACCTTTACTGGTTGATACAGAAGAGGATTAGGGCCACTGAGAAAAAAAGTTAACTGATTTTTAAATTTTATTTCAGTTTAATATGGGAAAAAAGTCAGAATTTTGACTTTTTTCTCAGAATTCTGACAGCTGACAAACATGTTAGCATCAAGCTATAGCCATGTCTGTTTTAGAGACTAGCTCTCTTGTTTTAATAACCTTCTGCTCCTCCATTAATGAGGGGACCCCTCGGTCATGTAAAAAGTTGCCTAATTCCGTCATTTTCCACCAATGTGTCACTGGCCACCTCAAACAACTCACATCTTTGTCAGTGAAGCTGAGAGCTCCACATCTATTCCTTCATAGTGCCAATCTACATTAAGATCCAAAATTCTGAGAAAAAAGTCAGAATTCTGAGATTAAAGTCAGAATTCGGACATTTTCCCCCATGTTAAACTGAAATAACATTTAAAAAATCAGTTAACTTTTTTTTTCCAGTGGCCCTAATCCTCTTCTGTAGGTTGATGATTTTCTTTATTCGGACCCTGCTGATTTTTAATTGGTGACCCCTGTTTAAAATATAAAGGAAGAGTTTAGTGCGCTGAAATGGGTAGTTTTTTAGACTTTTACAGAGATTTAAAAGGTTGGTTTCACATCAAGTATCAGAGCATCTCCCAAATAACCAACAAATAAATTGAGTAAATAGTTGGATTGTTTAAGAGGATCTCTGGTTCACAGACAGCGCCCCCTGTTGGTCAAATGTAAGGATGGACCTCAGCCAGCTTCTTTTCATTCCCGTACAGATGATGGTGAGAAGGAACCATCTACAGCTGTGATGGGAGCAGGTGAGGCCCTGATCTGCAGCAGCGGAGGAGCCAACATGGAGCAGCGTCCAGAGAGAAAAGTTCCCTGGAGGAAAAGGGGGATCAGAGGGAGGAAACTCACCCCACAACCAGCAGGAAGCCCAGCGCGCACAGGAAGTAATTGCTCTGATAGTACAGCAGGTTGTTAATCACGCGGTTGTTCCACCGCTCCAGCTCCCGCACATCTGGCACCGCAAAGCGAGCCGAGCTCAGCAGAAAATCATCCAGGCTGCGGAGGGGAGGCGGCTGCACGCTTGCCATCTTTCCCAACCAACAGGCGAACTATGTTTCCCACAATGCAGCGCGGTAGGAACTGGATGCTGAAGGGGGCATGCCTCCGTTTACCGGAAGTGATGTCATTCTGGTTGGCTTTTCATCATGTCTGCCTGATTAAAATACTGAGGCTGAATGAATGGATTTATGAATGAATGAAAATTATTATCGAATTAGCCAACAATAAAGATGGAAATAAAGTTATTAATGTGAATTATTTTATGTTAAACCAAACTTCTGATTTAAAAAGTAAACGAAAAGCTGAAGCCTAAAATAATGATGCCTAATGGCTCCTTTTAAATTCAAATTCCTTCAACAACATGTTGATTCTTTAGAAGAAGAAAAAAACGAATGTTTCAAAATGTTAATAATCAATTAATACAATAAATCCATGTAAAATAAAGCAGCATGAACTGGGTTTCTACTCCCCTCAGGAAAGGCTGCGTTTGGCTGCAGCGCTGTGAGATAGAGGTGGGTTACTGCTGGGACAGGTCAGTGGTCCATTACAGGATCCACAGAGACAAACAGTGAAAACATGTACCACAAACACTAACTAAATTAAAGAGACCAATAAACCTAAACAGTTATGTTTGTGGTCAACAGGAGAGAGCTGGAGTACCCAGAGAAAATCTCACATGCAGAGGTAAAACATCCAAACCCCTGCAGGAAGTCTCCAGACCAGCGCTTTGTCTGAGTTGTAAAAAGGAGCCTATATGCTTCCTATCATAGTTCCTTTAGTGCAGGGAGTATGCACCCTCCTTACAGGTGCTAATAAGCTATAAGGAATCCCTAATCCATTGTGTGACTTGACTTATAAGCCCAGCCCACAGCACTACTACAATCTACGGGGACATTATGTCTTCCCTGCACTCTGTGTGACACATGCTAGTGTCCTCTGTTTGGTGTTTTATAAGGGAGAGCTTCAGCTGTTCACTTAATTTATGTAAATCTTGTTTTTTCTTCGTTTTTTCTCTCGGAACAACCAATGACCCCCCCCTCATCTATGTGCATGTCCGTTGTGTACTGACATCGCTAAGGCTGAAGGTTGTCTAGATTCAGCACATTAATCCAAAGCTCCTTCCCAGCCATGGATAGTGTTCTTAGTCTTGATCACAACTAATGCTGAAGGGATAGGAGCTAGGAACTGGAGCTAGGAAGCAGAGGTAGGGGCTACAGCTGGGGTTTAATGAGAAGATTTGAAGGACGGGTCCGATGTATCCTCTCTATCCTTGGATATCCCAGGATTCATTGCGAGACATAGCAAGCCGGCTGCTCCGTGATCGGAGGAATAACGTACGTGTTGCTGAACAGTGGTGAATGTTGAAAGTTCAGTTAAATATAATAAAAGTATGAGAATTATTCTATCTGAAATGAAAGAAAATAGTTGTTTTAATGGTTATTGAGTCAGATATGCGGCGTAATGTTTGATTTATCTAAAGGTTTTTATCTGTTACTGTGTAAATGAGTTTGGCTGTAATTTAAGGACAGATTCTAATATATCTGCAGGGTGGGGACTATAAATCTGATAGGAGTTTAATTTTTTAATTGCTATTTTGCACAATTTGCTTAACTAAATATTTTTTGTTGTTGAATATTAGAGATTTTTTATACATACATTGTATAGATTCACTGATATCTTTCTACCCCTTTTATAGAATAGAATAGAATAGAAATCCCTTTATTGTCCCACAATGGGGAAATTCTAGTGTTTACACCAGCAAAAAGATTATAGAAAAAAAGTTCACAAAAATGTGGATCTTAGAAAAATATATAATTATAACATAACAGAGAAGAGTTAAAAGATAAACAATAAAATATTGTACTGTAAAGTGTTTTAACAATATAAAAAACTGCACCTGTAGAATAAATAACTAATATACAGCTATAAACCACTCTATATTCTCATGGGTGTGATCTTTGTTCACTTTACCATAAAAAATTAGAAAAAATTAAAAAGAAACAGTTTGAAAAATTGGGTATTCATTCTTTTCCTGCTTTGAGTGTCACCTGTCATGGTTGCTAGGCAACAGAGGGTAGAGCGGTGAAAGCCGCCGAAGACTGGACCTGTTTGGATCCACAGCCCAAACTCTACCGGTCCAGGTAGACCGGTAGAGTTTGATAAATGCAGCCCATGAATTCATACATGATTATGGAGCCCGATTTAAGACCGGCTTTTATTGTGAAAGGCATGAGGGGGAAGGAAAGGGGCGTTTCTCCGTGCTGCTGGTGGTCGTGCACTCGTGGCTCAGGATCGGGAGCGCGGCAGTTACATGAATGTGGTTTATACGAGTTGCTGCACTTGCCCTTGGGAAAGGGGAGTCGGTCGGATGTGGATGGTCGTTTGGTGCATGGCGCGTGTTTTGAAGCTGCTTATGGAGAAATGTCTTGGGCCGTGAGTAGTGAGGAAACAGGAAGCGATTCTTGTGGGATGGAAGAGGGAAATAGTGACAATGAAGGGTGGAAGATAGCAACATCAAAAAATGAGAAAAAGCGGAAAAAACAGAGATCAGTTCAAGGGGAATCTAGTTCAGAACAATCCAGTGATGATCATTCCATACATTCCACAGCACAACAAAATGAATTCAAAGTCATATTCAAAGTCGTTAATCAGGCAGACTCTTTTACAAATTGGAATCCGGTTCACTTAACAAAAACCATCAATAAACTTGTCGGAGAAGTCAGAGGTGCCAGAATTCTGTACAGTGGAGACCTGCTAATTAACTGCAGAGACAGCGCCCAGCAAGGCAAAGCAATACGGATCAACAAAATTGACGGGATAAGAGTTCAGTGCAGCCTAATGGAGAACAAAAAGATCAGCAGGGGAGTCATTGGAGGAGTTCCTCTAAAAATTTCTGAAAAAGAGATTCTGGAAAACATAAGCGGTGCAAAAGTAAAAGAAGTAAAACGGTTAAAAACAACAAGAAACGGAGAAAGATCTGACAGTTTATCAGTGCTAATTAAATTTGAGGAAGAGCAATTACCAAGCAAAGTATTCATCGGTTACATAAGCTATAATGTCAAAATCTACAATCCTCCACCATTGAGATGTTTCAAATGCCAAAAATTCGGTCACATTGCAGCAGTTTGTAAAGGGAAACAGAGGTGTGGAAGGTGTGCAGGAGAACACGAATATGGTAAATGTGGAAAAGAAGCTATAATAAAATGCTGTAATTGTGGTGGAGAACATACTGCTGCTTATCGCGGCTGTGAAGCAAGCAAAAGGTCTGAGGAAATTAAAAAAATGAAATTTGAGCTCGGAATAACCTACGCTGAAGCTGCAAAAAGGATCCCATCTCAGTCAGAAAAACCCAAACCTACAGTTCAACACACGGCAAATTCCAAACCTCTAGAGAATCAAAAAATTGATGAAGACTCACTTATTGTTAAAAAGACAAATTTTGTTCTTTTCATGGTAGAAGTAATTAATTGTACTGCACAGACAACAAAAAAAACGGAAAAAATCAAAATAATAGTGAAGGCTGCAGAAAAATATCTGGACATTAAAGATTTGAACTGGGAGATGGTTGGAAGTATGATGGGAGGACCGATGGGACCATCAGAAACTGGCAGAGTTAAGATGACCTAGAGTAAATTAAAAATTATATGGGCAAATGTGATTTAGTATTATGTTGGTTTAAGTTACACAGGTTTTTTTTTTTTTTTTTTTTTTTTTTTTTTTTTTTTTTTTTTTTGGGGGGGGGGGGGGGGGGGGTGAATCGTTTTCTGTTTTCTTGCTTTACTCCATATCAGTTGGTGGCGGTAATGCACAATTCACAAGTCTGCCAACCGCCATAAAACCCCATAAGAAGAAGAAGAAGGATCGGGAGCGCGCGCTGTGTGACAGCTCAAAGCAGTCCACGTCAACAGAGAGTGAGCGCAGCGGCGGCAGCGATGGACTCCGCTTCCCTGGTGAGCTTCCCGGTGTTCGGTCAGGCTGAGGCCGCCTGCTGTGGAGCCCTTACAGGGGCAGAGTTCAGAGGCAAGGCGGGGGGATGGAGCTCAGCTGCTTTTCTGTCTGATTCTCAAAGGTTGTTTTTTTCACCGAGGCCGGTTTGATCGGTGCTTTGATGCATGAATTAAACCGAATCTGTGGATTTATTTCTGATCGGTGTGTGGTGGCTGAGATGGGAAACCAGCGCTGTTCGGGGCAGAACTTCCCCGGCTCTTCCTCTCCATTAAAGGGACCAGTTGATCCACAGCTGCCGGGTTTTATTTCAGCTCCACAGACGCTGAAAGTCCGGCTTCACGCAGCCCGCTGCCTTTTAATCCGGTTACCTTCTTCTTTTTTCTCCTTGCGGCTGCTGCGTGTTTCGGTGCGCGTGTTGAGCGTGAATGTAGTGACGTGTATAGCAGGGTTGGTGCCACGTCCAACGTTGTGCCTCGCGCACCGTGTCTTCAGCTGCATCCTGACGCTCAGATCTGTCCTCCCATTAAACCAAACCTGCTGCTTCCATCTGATCTAACAGCCTCATTATGTGACCATAAATGTTTGCTCTCCATCAGAGGTCTGCCTTTAAAGGGGCTCATTGGGACTTTATTCAAAGTTCTATTATACTGAGAAGTCTATTAAAAAGAGTTTTTTTTAAAAACACTGTATTTAAATTAAAGGAAAAGTCCGGCCATATTCAGAATTCAAACATCTTAAAGTACTTTAAATATAAAATAATTACATACTGTTCAATAAATAAGTGTTTTTATTAGTGTTGCACCGATGCTATTTTTTGGCCCCTTATACCGATACCTGGCTGTGTAGTATCGGCTGATACCGATACCATCTGTTTGAAATAGATGTGTGTGTGAATAAATGAAGAACTGCAAACTAATTGGATGTAAAATAATTGCCATCATGGCTTCCTGTCAAGCTGCTGCCCACCTTTGTGAGGCAGGAAAAAACAAATACAAAATGAATCTAGTAGATTCAGATAGATAGAACCGATCTATCGTCAAGTATCACAAAGACTTCTATAATGCGATTTCACTGGCTTGGGTTAGTAACGCGGACGCCACAGTGACTGCTGCTGCGTAATGTCCACAGTTGCACGAAGCCAGCCAGACACCCACTCACACATACGGTTTTCCAGCCCAGAAAATATGTTCGTAAACCGCCTGGATGTACGAAATCTCGCCCAATTTGAACCAAAGTCTATTGATCTCTTCGGCCATCAATCTAAATAAAAAACATTTTCTACTCATAGACCGCCATCCTAAACCGCCAAATTGGGAAACATCCCAACCTGCCAACAATGCACGTAAGACGGGAAACTTTAGCCATCAGATGCAAAACCCCATCATGCACCGCAACATATTTTTACAAAATATTCAGACCCAAATTTGCCAAATATAAGAGAAATATCGTAGTTTGGTTTAAAGAAAGCATTTTAGTTTTATTATAATTTAGTTTGTTGCAAAGATTTTCAGAGGTGTCAAGTAACCAAGTACAAATACTTCGTTACTGTACTTAAGTACACTTTTTAGGTATCTATACTTTACTCCATTACTTATTTTTCCTCCTACTTCTGTTTTCTACTCATTACATTTTCACACAAGTATCTGTACTTTCTATTCCTTACATTTTTAAAACAAACGTTACTCGTTACTCTTGGCTTCGGTTTAATGCAGAGGTCATGGATTAGCGGACCGTGGTCCGGTGTTATGCCGAAAAGTGCATCCCTGCCGAGATATACATCCCCAGTACGGGTGTTATGAACAACATTAGATCCAAAGATTTTGTCCGAGGTTCGGCTGATTTATTTTTTGTCGTCTCTTGTTTTTCACACACAACAATAAACAGTGATGCCGACAGGAGTTTGGAACTGCAAAGCTTTGTCTTAAGCGTTTAGAGACCAGTGTGATGCATAGCTATGGTGCATTCAGGAGCATTGGACATTTCCCACTTACAAGGAAAGAGACATAAACGGAACAGAACTTAACTCATATGTACTCAATGTATTTATTCCGAAACATTGTGGGCTTTCTCACTATACTGAATGCTCTATAATTGTATTTCTGTTATTTTTTTGATTATGCACATTTGTTAGCTTTTTATTCTAAAAAATCTATAATATTACAGCAGCAAATTATCAAAGTTTTTTAAAAGCCTGTTTAAAAGCTCCAAATGAGGCTTTAGATCATAAAGCGACAATTACACAGTCATTGTTTTACAGGCAGAATTAGCATTTTCTGACCCTTGACCTTTAACTACTGATGGATATACAGGAATACAGTCAAAGTGTCCACTCCTCTGAGATAGAATGGGATGCAGTTTTCTGGCAATTTCTATTTTTTTTATTTAAAGGAAAATTCTGGTTTTTAACACTTTTAGCCCATTTTCTGTAGTGTCCAGGATGAAATCGAATGATCGACACCAAAATTTTGACGATTGGTCCTGTCTCTGCTATTTGGCTCATGCAGAATCCCCCCCTGGGTGCTTCAGAATGGCTTCCATAGTGCATGTCCGATAATGTCCTTAAAACAACCTTAAACGTTCTTTTTTTAAAATATGCTACTCACCGGGTCGTCAGCGCTGTTCAATGACGTTCCAAAAAAAGTTTCGTAAAGAAAAACCGTTCCTGTCTTGTTTTATTTAGCATTTTGTAAATCCCAGAACTATTTTTTTCCGATACATCACAACCGCTTATAAACTTCCGCTTCCCGTTCGAATCTGAAGCGTTGCACACTCCAGTCCACTAGTTGGCGACGGTATCCTCTACCGTCAAACTCAAAGTCCAATATGTCCTCCTCAAGAATCCACCTTTCGTATTCCATTTTCAGAGTTTTTTTAAAGTGTTTAACAGAGACGTTAGCACCTCGACGTCGGAGTACACAGAGTGAAGCAGAAACACTTGGGCCTTGCGAAAAGACTACAACTAAGCGTAAACAGGCCCCGTTTCCGGTGGCGGAGGGATATTGACTATTCCAACAGAACTCAATGGGATTTACAAAATGCTAAATAAAACAAGACAGGAACGTTTTTTCTTTACGAAACTTTTTTTGGAACGTCATTGAACAGCGCTGTCGACCCGGTGAGTAGCATATTTTAAAAAAAGAACGTTTAAGGTTGTTTTAAGGACATTATCGGACATGCACTATGGCAGCCATTCTGAAGCAGCCAGGGGGGGATTCTGCATGAGCCAAATAGCAGAGACAGGACCAATTGTCAACATTTTGGTGTCGATCATTCGATTTCATCCTGGACACTACAGAAAATGGGCTAAAAGTGTTAAAAACCGGAATTTTCCTTTAAAAATTCAATGTATAACATGAATCCATAAATACCTAATTTGATTTCAGTGTTAAATTCTGTTTAAAGTAACAGATCATTAAAAATGTCTCCGGACCTTTACTGGTTGATGATTTTCTTTATTCAGACCGACTGATATTTAATTGGTTACCCCTGGTTTAATGTTTCTACATATTTATTTCCCGTCATGTGCTCCATCCAATGCAGATCATTGGCTCCATCCACATCTAGTGAAAACTAGTGTGATTGGATGAGTCATAGAACGCAAACACTCATTGGTTAGTTAAAGGTACACTAGGCAACCGGTGTTGATTTTCCAGCGAGGCTCCCCCCAGAGGGCGAAAGTAAAAGTGCACTGTCGTAAATATGCACAGCTGTTCTCCTGGTTTCTCCGTCAAGCCAGGCGCGGTTGTTTTGAGCTTAGCAGACAGACGAACGCAACGAATGACTAAGCATCTGACGCGCCGCAAACGCGCTGCTGCTCGAGATGAAAAAATTGAATTTTTGCTGTCAACCAATCAGAGAAGCTGATCTAGGAGCTGGCAGGGAGAGAGACACAGCGCTGATGATCACTCATTTTAAACAGTTTATTGACGCCTAAATTAACTTAAAATGCAGAAATCTGCCGGCAGAATATGTTGGCTTTTATTATCCTGCTGCCTGCAGTTTGGATTATTTAGATGAAAAACACCTACCAGCTGCCGCGGTGAACCGCGAGGAGGCGACCAGGCCAGAGGCTGCTGATGAAGGGATCCCTACTGTCGCCGCACCGCTGGTATGTGGGGGTCTGAGCGTCTCCGACAGAAAAAATATTGAAGGCAGGATAATAATCTGGATGAACTGACGGCACTGATTACGTTTTCAGGTGTATTTTCTCACTTAAACACATATTAAAACTACTTTATTCCCACTGATCACAGCAAATATAGCTGCAAGGCAGAGAAAGGATAGTGAAGCTCCGCCCAACGCGCCTCAGACACACTTTTGCACGGCGCAGCCAGAGCAGCAAAGCTGCTTCAGCCGCGCGTCAGAACTAACTGGTACAAGCAGCAAAAATGAAGCAGCAGACGCGATTTTGCTGCGTCCGGTGTGAAAGCAGCACTACACAAAGATCGCCACTGTCTTCTTCTTCTTGTTTTACTGGCGACTTGCAACCAAATGGAGCATTATCGCCACCTACATGATCTTATTTATGTTTCCTTAAATCCTTAGGTTTAGTCCAGTTTGTTGAAGATAAGATGACATGATTTTAAGTACTGTCTTTCAGGATTTATTGATCGCCACTGTGCTAGCAACGAGCATGCTCTTAACTGGGGGGTGTAGCAGTTCTCGCCGTAAAGCAAGACTGACTCTCACGAGACTTCTGAGCCTGTGGGTGCGGGTCGGTGCTCCTGCAATTGCAAGTACGGTATTTCCCCCACAGACCACCAGGGCGGCCGAGAATACCTTTGTTCAACCTGAAATGACTCATTTAATCATCCAAAACGTTACGGAACACATTAATTAACTGAAAAATGTTGCATAGTGTGCCTTTAAAGGAAATCATCAGAAGCAAGCAGGTGTTCTTCAAACTGCTAACGTGAATTGTCTATGCCATGCTACAATGTGGGATTCAGAAAAAGATGTTGAAATGTCTGAAAGGTCGGACACAGGCGAGAGCGTATCGGGA